ACTTGACTTGTTTATCATAATTTACAGTATATCTATTAGTTTATATTTACTTGTGTGTGTGTGTGTGTGTGTTTAGGGATGTTTTTTTTTTTTTTTTTTTTTTTTTTTTAGTGCTTTCACATCTATATAATAAATGTGAATCTCGGTGTGTCACACTTTCTTCAATATATATATATATATATATATATATAGGCATCCACAGACAGATTTTTTTCGCTGTATCACAGTTTATCAGTATGGCTAGACATCCAATCACTTCAAGCCGGGAACAAAACCTGACCAATTTAGCATCAATTGGAGATTCTAACTCTTAGGCTATTGGTGCCCAGCAGAGAGAGAGGCTAATTTTTGCATATCTTTTTTTCCATAAACATCCCAGTGACCCAGAGAACTCAATCCATTCTGAGAGTCTTGCATTATCAGTAGTAATATTCACTGTTTATAAATTCGCGCTTTCTCTCCAGTATGTATGTATGTATGTATGTATGTATGTATGTGTGTGTGTGTGTGTGTGTACATATATATAATCTCTTATTATAAAATGCAGATTGTGTGTGTGTGTCTGTACGTTTATATATTGGATCGGATTTCCTACATTTTTCAACCGATTTCAACAAAACTTCACAGGACTACATAAAATTACCTTGCGGTCGTTCTAACAGTGCCAAATATTGGAAAAACACAATTGTTTTTGCACAAAATCAATTTGAAAGCACAGTTAAGTGTATCGCACCCGGCCGGAAGTTACTGCCGGCTACTCAAATGTCCGAATGCCGTTAACTTCCAGTGATTCAGCGTTTTTTTTTTTTTTTTTTCAGAGAACGATACACAAAAAGTAAACGGATGAAATCTAAACATACACAAGTCCTCCTAACTAAAAATAATAACCGGAAGCTACTTTAAATACACATGGTGTCCAAATATTTTTACTGTATTCAATAAGTAAAAATCATAAATTGTAAAAGATTACAGAAAGGCTACTAAATGAATATGATTTGTTAGATAATCTTACTTATTATAAAAATGCAGATTGTGTGTGTGTGTGTGTCTGTATGTTTATATATTGGATCGGATTTCCTACATTTTTCAACCAATTTCAACAAAACTTCACAGGACTGTGTAAAATTACCTTGCGGCAGTTCTGACAGCGCCAAAAATTGGAAAAACATAATTGTTTTTGCACAAAATCAATTTGAAAACACAATAAAACACAATTCTGTCGTCAGAATGAAAGGGGGACAACTCATATCAAGTTATACTTATTATAAAACCCAGGTTGTTTGTGAGTGTGTGTCTGTATTCGTTTATATATGGGATCGGATTTCCTACATTTTTCAACTGATTTCAACAAAACTTCACTTTTTTTTGGCAGGTAGTGTTTCTTATTGTCTTGCACACTTTTTTCTTTATTTTTACATTCAGAATGCTTTAAAAATTCCATTTACAAGACAATTGTTTAATATATTCAATCGATAGACTCATAACGATTGAAAACAATGTTTTTGTTTGAGTTTGACCAATTAAAAAAAAAAAAAAAAAACTAATTAAGACATGCGTGTCCGTCAACCTTAAACAATAATCTTTGTCAAAATTAATTTTCAGTCTTTATGATGGTTGATACTTGATCTATCTCTTACTGTTACATCCCCGGGCAGCGCCGGGCTCTACTGCTAGTATATATATATATATAATGCTGCACAAAAGTGAACCCCTGACATAATATCTAAAATCTTTTTTCCAAAATAATCAACAAATCTGAATTAAACTATATATTCATTTAGAAAAAAAAACATTTATTAAAGGAATTACAACCACTTTCAACAATTTTTATCAAGAAAGAGTAAAAATATTAATTAAAATTAAAACTTGTGAAACTAAATGAACCCTTATATTTATACTTTGTATTTCTATGTTATATGGTTGCCAATGCAAAACCTTTTTTTGTGCATGTGTAAGAAACAAAATGTCTTTTTTTTTTTTCTTCTTTTTTTTTTGGGTAAGTTGTGTATACTGCATTCAACCAATATAACTCATTGTGTATGCAAAAGGGTGAGTTAGAGACTAAACTAAAAAACAAACAAAAAAAAAAACCAATATCAAAAGAACTTCTGATGTTTTAAAAGATTGCATAGTTGAAGCCTATAATGATGGAGAAGGATACAAAATGCTGTCAAATTGATTTAGAGTTCACATCTCCACCATACAACAAATTATTTATAAATAGAAGACCTTGGTATGGCAGCATCACAATCAAGTAGTGGCCGTTTGTGAAAAATAATTGGAAAAGCAAGTAGAAATCAAGTTCAGCAAGCCTGGGCAAATCCCACTGTGACCTATGGTTCTCCAAAGCTCCCTGGCCAATGCAGGAATAAATGTGCATATATCTACAGTGCAGTTAAATCTGAACAATGCTAGTCTTCATGACAGAATGCTTAGAAAAAAGCCACTGCTTACGAATAAGCACAATCTAAGCTCAAATATACCAAAGCTCATATTAATAAGCTAGAAATGTTATGGCAAAAGGTTTTATGGTCAGATGAGACCAAACTAGAGCTTTTTGGAAGGAACAATAAGTGATATGTCTGACAAACTCTTGGAATTTGGTGCCAACAGTTAAAAATGACAGTGGCAACATTATGTGTTGGGGGTGCTTTACTGCAGCTGGAACAAATGGTACCCATTGATGACACAGTGGACTCTGTAAGATACCAAACAATTTGAAATGAAAGTGTTTTGCACTTGTTTTGAAAGTTGGTTTTAGGTCGGAGTGGGATCTTTCAACAGGACAATGACCTGAAGCATCAAAGCAAATCCACAAAACAGTGGGTTTGTAAAAAGAAATTTCAATTCTTGGAATGGCCTAGTCAAAGTCCTGATCTAAACCCAGTTGAAAATCTGTGGTTCAAGTTATAAAAAAAAAAAAAAAAAAGGCAGTGCATGCAAGAAACCTAGGTAATATGGAGCAGATATGGAAGTTTTGCCAAGAAGAATGGTCAAAAATTGATGCTCACTACTGCCAGAAACTTCTTAAAAATTATAAAAAAAAGTGCTCAATGTTGTGACGTCAAAAGGAGGAGTCACCAAATAATAAATGTAAGGGTCCACTTTCTTTTGTACATCTTAATTTTTAATTAATATTTTTTATTCCTGCTTAATAAAAATTTTTGAAAGTGGTTGTAATTTATTTAATAAAGGTTTTTCTTAATGAATATATAGTTTAGTTATTTGTTGATTAACTGGAAAAAAAAGACAATTTTTTAAAATGTTATCTTAGGGGCTTGCTTATTTTTGCACAGCACTATATGTAATGTATATTTGCACAGCAACCTTTCTTTTAAACATGTTTTGAATATGACACTTTTTTGATGGATTTTTTTTATTTAGATTTTCCAGCATTCTAACTCCTTTTTTTGTTTTGAATTTTTCCCTAAATGACATAATTTCTACATACACACCTAACAGTTACAGAATTGCATTTACAAACAAATAGGAGGAGCTTAGCTCTGCTGGATGTAGGAAACCTTTTTACCAATGTCCCAGTTGAAGAAACAATCCACATAATTTATGGCTGCATCTATAAACATTCGCAAATCCTTCCTCCTAAAATTTGACCAGCAAATCTTTGGAAACTAGTCCTCACCTGTACTACAAATACCCTATCCTACAATCATAATGGTAACACGAACATCCAAACTAATGGTGTCAGCATGGGAAACCCATTAGGCCCTACTTTCTCTAACTTTTAAACATCACATATTGAAAACAAAGTGTTTGAAACAACTAACAAACCACAAATCTAAACAAGGAACATTGATGACATTTTTGTTTTGATAAAACAATAAGGACAAAATTATAAATCTAAAATTAATTTACAAAAAAACCCCAAAAAACAAACTCCCCACTAAAATCAGTCACACCACCACCTACTTGAGTAGACACCTCACGTGTTGCTCATCTGATCAAAGTGTCATAAAAAGGTACTTAGCCACCTGCAATTTACAACAATCTTTAAGGAAGATTCTGGTCGATAACACTAGCATCTTACATAGATCCCATTACTGAAAACCTCTCACTGAGATAAACCCTTTACATAAAACATCTGGCATCTAATATAAATATCAGCCTTATTCAGTAGTGGAAATGGTGTGTTGAAGGTTTTTTTTTTAAAATAGAAAGATGCCAACTTGAATTCCAGCCACACTTGCAAAACTCAGAATAAATGATAATACTATTCAAACTGTACAAAAAGAAAAAAAAACTACATCTTAAGCAGACAAACGTGAAAAGAAATTAACAATACCTAAAAACACACCTCCTTTGAATATGGCTAAAGAAGTGACTGAAAGTGCTTGCAACAATTATAATTTTTGCACGCCCTTACTCTCACCAAATGGAAAGAAACTGTAAGTGTTAGAAAAACAGAATTAAAAAAAAAATGAATCCGATTTTCCTTGTCTGTCATATTCAATGGAATGTATGTGTATTTTGTTATTTCATTAAAACTTACCTTCATTAATCTGGTGGGGATGACAGGATGCCCTGAAGGAGTCAAAGCAATATCTGCCTCCCAAGACAACTGAGTTACAACTGTGCCACACCACATGCTACCAGAGTGAGTCAGGAGAGTAGTGGGAGGAGTAAAAAGAAAATGAGCTGCCATGAGGTGTTATGAGTACTTAAAAAGTTTGGTGGTAACAAAACACACTATGTGACTAAAGCAGTTTGAAATAGAACATGTCCAAAGGATCTATTAGTTTCCATGTTGCTTTACATGTCCTATCTATTTTCTGGAATGTGGCTGGCAAGGGTCATTAAAAGAAATATTTAATGGAATTCTAGCAAGATAAGCTGTTCAGCATCTTCATGCGTATTTGAATTTGGAACCTGCCTCAAATTCCAGAATTTTCTGCCATATGCCATTTTGCCATGTCCATTTATTTAGTAGAAATATCTTTTTTCCTATTTTATTTGTTTGTTTAAACTTTTTTTTGTTATTTCAGTTGAGTCTTATTCAGCGTTTCTTTGACCACATTTTGGAAGTGAAACCACATATATTTGTGACATACAACGGAGATTTCTTTGATTGGTATGCCCTTATTCATTTTCATCCTTAATTTGTATAATATTTAACTTGACATTTATCACTCTGCTGTGCAAAAAGTTTATCCTACCACTGAAGGTAACTGTTCCCCGAATTTGAATTTGTTTGAATTTCAAAGTTGTGTTGTCGTATCCTGCTATGGCAACAGAAAACATCTTTTGAGTGAAATTAATAATAAGGTTATTGCAATTGAGATAAATGCAGTGAAAAGTGAAGTAATATTAATAATGCAGAGTACTAAAGATTAATACCATTTTTGTCTTATAAAAAAGATCCAATGAAAATAACCATTTTTGTTCAGTTAAGCATTTTCTGATAATGAGTAATGTTTCTTTTAGTAACAGTACACCAGTCCTTTCTTTTTTGTCCATAATTTACCTGTGGTCAATTCTTGAAATAAAAATTTCATCACTGTTTTTTCAATAATGACCCTATTAATTTTGAGTTGGACAATTTTTCACATTATATTTTATTTTTCATTTAAATTAGCATCAGAATTACATTTAATGCTGCTTGTTGAAGCTTTTTTTTTTTTTTTTTTTTTGCTTAATTATTTTAGGTTTTGTGTTTGATGTTCATCAATTTATAATTAGTATTATCTTAAACACAGCAGTTAAAATTTAAGACACTTCATATTATTTAAAATATATTATTTCTCTCCTATTTAAATGTATCAAAGCATTAAAAATGACCTTTTTAATAAATGTGTCAATAACCAAAAGAAAAATATGTAAATTTAATAACTACTATAAGGCAGATGTAGTCCTATACATACAAAATTATGTATTTTGTAATCAATAAGCAAAGTAAATTTTATTATGTCCTCTAGGTACAGTTTAAGTATTTGTCTTTAAATATTTCCTGCTAGAATGAGGCTATTTTTATGTCATTGAGGCACGTGTCATAAAGTAGCCTTTTTGTATAAAAAAAAAAACAAAACAAAAAAAGGACACTTTTTCAGCAGACATTATTAAAATAGATAATGAAAATTGAAAATTATGCTGACACTTCTGGTCCTACCAAGGATTGAACTCACCATCCTTGGCTAACAAATTTCTGAAGATATTAGACTCCCACTCCTGCTTAATAAATGTGTTCTTAGCAGTAGCAGGCTTGTCTCCCTTCCTGCCAAAGTAGATTTAAACCTTTTAGTATTATTTAAGTTTACTGAAATTTCTCTTCTGCTAACATGTTTCTATGCTGTCACTCATTGAGCAAGATTTTGTTTTATCAAAAATAACTTGAAAGTAATCAACAAATTATTTGTTTTAATATTTCTATGTTGTATGGTCTTTGTTGCAACCCTTTAATGAGCAGTACACTTAGTTGTGGAAACATAGTAAATAATTACAAAATAAATTATTTCATGGTCAAATTTAACAAAACTTTGTGTTAACACCTCACGTGGTTGACTTATTCCATTGGAATTCCAGTTCTTCAGCTTAGAAGTTTCAACATCCACAGTTAATGACAAAAACAGACTTTAATTTCGTCTGGCTCTGTCCACCCACTTCCAGAATACTGCCCCACAAAAATATCAGGGTCATAAAACATCTTTTCTGACCAATCAGAAAAAAGGCCATGCAGTTTTCACAGATCCATTGACTCAATATAAAGCCAATGCTGATTTTGCCCATGAAAGCAGATCTGACCAGGTTGGCATTAGTGATGCCCACCACAGCAGAAATGTTTAACCAAGCAATCAGCAGCAACATCTAGGCACTTCTATCAACAGCAATGCTTTTGGGCAACGACAAAACAAGCAGCAGCAGCAGAGACTCTTGACTACATATGCATGTTGGTTTTTTCCACCTGTCTATCACGACTACTACCTTGTGTTTATACCCCAAAATGAACTCTGTCTGATATACAATACTCCAGAATAAGCAAACAATTGAACCTTGTCTATCATAGGGAAAATAAAAACCCTTTTACTTATCTCAGTCATGTCTTATTTCCATTTGTCGTTTTGACACTTACCTTTTTTTTATTTTTTTAACTTTAAGGTCGCAATTAAACATTTATTATGTTGTTAAATAAATAAAATAAAGATATACTTTTGATGAGTTAATCAAATAGTTACTTAGAGCTTTTATATCTTTATTTTTTATTTCTAGGCCTTTTGTTGAAACTCGTGCTGCTGTCTATGGACTTGACATGTTCAGAGAAATTGGCTTTCAGAGAGATTCCCAGGGTGAATATAAATCTCGTGCTGCTTCACACATGGACTGTTTCAAGTAAGTAGAATCACACATGTGTCATAAGTGAAGATCAAGTGATTAATATCAGTAATGAGATGCTATAGAGGCATGTTTTGTTGTGTAAGATGATGAGATTGAAGCCATACATCATTTAGAATAGCTTACTCTAACAATGTTGGCTTTCAAGTGATGTCTAAATAAGTCTAAATGACTATTTGTCCCTATTACTTTCTCTAGTAAACTAGTACTCATACAAGATTGTGTGTGTAGAAAATTTTTGGCATAGTTTAAATAAAAAAAAACAACTTTTTTTTTTAATTCATTTCACTCCAAGCAAGGTGATAATGTCCTAGGATGCAAAGTGTTACTCGGAGTGAAAAAATAATGAGAAGACTTTAGTGAGGATAAAGGACAATAAAAGAACAGAGTTCAGAGAGACAAGATGATGATTGATGTTGCATTTAAATTTTTAAGATTTTAGATGCTGGGAAACAAGAAATCTGAGAGTTCCATAGATTAGAAGTGTGAGAAAAGAAACTGAATAGAACATAGTTTCATCTAGCTAGTTCAATAGTAAAGTAGTGAGACCTAATTGCCAATCTAGTAGTATGTTTAAATTCATGCAGTTGGAGCACTATGGAAGAGAGCTCATTAAAAACATTGCCATGAAAATATTTGTAGAAAAGACAGAGGAAAGCCATGTCATGGTGGTGAGAAAATGACTGAAGTCAAGATGCCAGATCAAGATAGATTACATTACAAACACTTATCTATCAACATAATTTATTTCTTTGTTAATGCACTTAATTTATACAAGAAAAATTTCTTCAATCTATATATAAAATTCTATGACTTCTGTTAGTCTGTCCGTCTGTCACACCCTCTAAAATAACCATATATTAACCAATTGAAACCAAATTTTGTGGAGAAGTATAAACAGGTAAGGTTATAAAGTATAGTTGGTTTTAATAGGCTGCATAGCTTAGTACAATAAATTTTCGTTAACTTTTTTGGGGAAAATTACTAGTTCTCCCACTATTTTAAAAACAATTTAATGATTTAAATAACAAATCCTTATTTAATAAAAATGCAATATTGTTTTTTTGCATACTTTTTCTTTAATTTTTAATATATATACAAGAATTCTATTCCACTTCGTCCTGTGTTTGCAAGAACTATAAACATATCACAAGGCCAAACAGTTCAAAAAGTTGGAATTTGGCTTCAGAAAGAAATATTTATGCATATTGCATGCTCAAGTGTAAGAAATCCTAAAACTTTATTCTTCGCTGTTAAAAAGGGGGAAAATTTTTTTTTTTTTTTTTTTTTTTTTTACATATTGTATACCTTGAAGTCCTATTAAAATTAAATTAAAAAATTATTAAACTATGAAGTAGGATTTTTGTCAAAGTATTTTCCCTAATGATTCAACTTATTCAAATTTCATCGGTTGGTTTGAAAAATTGAATGAAACAGTTTGTAAATCTCAGCAAAAAAAATGTTAGTGATAACTTCAACAATACTAAATACTTTGAGGATTTCAACACTCATCAGCATCCTTCAAAAACATTTTAGTATTCAAAATCATTTAATAACGGCATGTCAAGCTGCTGACTTATCTTTGCCCTTGTGTGTGTAAATGTATATATATAATATAAGGAGAAATACTATTAAAATAAATACACTTTATTCACTTTAAGAATATCATCCAGGTTAAAAAATTTCTGAAGTTACCATCAGCAGATTTAATTTTTGCTCTTCAAGCTTAAACTTTGTAAAATACAGCAGAGAAAATATCAATTAAGATGGTGGGTAGCTTCTTGGAGATTCTGGCATTGTCTTTTCAGATCATTTTTCAGTTGCTTACTTTTTAAACAGTATATTAATGAGACTCAAGATCAACAAGCTCAGAATTTTAGTTGAACCATCTGCAGTCCACAGTCAAATATGGCAGATTTTCATTTAGAAATTGTGGGGAAGATCAGAAAACCTATCAATTTTCCAGGAGGGACTTTTTAGTATTCACTGCTGGTTGTTTTAGGAAAACAACAATTTTTTTTCCATAGAGGATGGTGCAATAAAAGACAAATTTTTGGCAAAATTTAAGTAATATATTTCTCCTCCTCCTCCTTCCTTTTTTTTTTTTTTTTTTTTTTAAATTAGTAATCTTCATTTTAATCTAGCTTCTTCTTATAAACCACTACTTTGTAGAACTCCCAAGAGGATGTTTCTATGATCACTATAATCTTAACCTGTTCATGTCTAGGGTTAACTGTAGTCTTTCCCACATATTTCCATAAACTGTACCTCTTAATCTGTAAGCCTCTAAATCTACATTTTAATCTAGCGTCTTCCCACAAACCACTGCTTTGTGGAACTGACTTCCAAGAAGATGCTTCCCCAGTCACAACAATGTTAACCTGTTCAAGTATAGGGTTAACCGTTTTCTTCCCTACATATCCGCATAAACCGTGCATGTAATCAGTAATCCTCTATCTTGAATGGCTCTTGGGCCTTATAAAGAGCGGACATCATTGTAAAGGGGAAAAAAACTTAGGACTGTTGAAGTATAATTAACCCCTGTCATTTGGGCTGAGACTTCTCATTTTATTTGAACTGTTGGTTGAAGAAGCAATGAAAGTAATATTGAATGATGCTATGTATAACATTGGTAGTAGAACTGACATAATAACTGGTATAAATAAATCCCTAAGCATTTTCATTACAATATTTAGTGCTGTATCATCAGAATAGCAATATCTGAGGTCTAGTTGTGTCCCCTATCCTTATCAGCCAAATGGATTCCTACACCTGCTTGGTGTTTATATCGCCAGTTTGTAATTCACATCTTGGGCTTTTTCTCTTGCTAATGGCTGTACTTTATGTCTGATGAATTAGAAGCCATTGTCAAAATGCCAGATAAATAACACAGAATTAATAAAGTTTGCAATAAAAAGAAAAAGGGCAAGAAGGATTAAACAGCAAGTAAGCAAACAATATATTTAAAGCAAATCAACAGGTAGGAAGGCAAAAGATTTCACAAATTATGAGTTGGTGTTTGCACACAAAAGCAAGATCAGACAAGCGAACGCACTGTCTAGTAGATAAGGCAGATCTAGACTGAGTCATGTCAAAATGCAAGCGGTTTCATTTTATTGACTAAGAAAAATATCCCAGCATGCATTTTTGTGTACTTCCAACTATAAAAGGTGAGTGTAAAACAGTTTTACAGTCATTCCTTTCCCCCATTGTGAAATCAACACTGTCTTCTTGCAGTTGATTGTTAGTCCTTTTTTCTTGCTTTCTTCTACCCCCCTGTCCAGGAAGTCTTGTGGTTTCCTTTCAGAGTTGGCCATCAACGCGGTGTCATCTACACATCTTATATTGCTAAGATTATACCCAGCGATAATTATCTGGTATGGTCTCCAATTCCCTTAGGATAGCGTTGCTGTATATGGCTGAATAAATCTGGGGAGAAGACTCATCCTTGTCTCATGCCCCTTTCCATTTTTATATAGCTACTAAATTTATTTTTGATTCATATGCAGGCATTTTGCTCCTATAAGTAATGAAATATTGTCTCACACATTTCAAATATTTTTACTCTTTAGGTGGGTGAAAAGAGACAGTTATTTGCCTGTTGGCAGTCAGAACTTAAAGGCAGTTGCAAAGGTCAGTGTTAAAACTTTTTTTTTTATTTATCTATATTTTATACATTGTTAGAAACCTGATGGATATTTTTCATTCCAATATCTGGACAAGTTTTGACCCATTGATCTCGTTCTTTATATTGCAGATATTATTACCACAATGTATTAGCGAATCTGTTGTATACTATCAAAAATGTTCATAAAATGAACTAACAAAATGGGCAAAAACAAAAGAAAATTTGCATATTTTGTGTAATTTTATTGAGTGCTGCACAGATTAAATGGCAATATTAGAAATGGTTTAAAAAATGTCTTTTCACCATAAATTTAGATCAAAATTTTGGAGCCTATTTGGGATCATCAAGTCAATGCGAATGATTCTTTCCTTAGCTGCATAGTATGTGCTTTGCCAGTTCTGCATACAGTTTTGAATTCAGAATTTTCCTTCTATTAAATCAGTTGCCACTGAAGGCTATAAAAAACCCAGTCTGTCCTATTATTCACCCATAGCTGATGGCAGAAGAGTTGGATTCATGCCTTTCCCAAAAGTCTTAGCATATAAGTAAAAAAACTTTAAATAGGCCCATTAATGGACAAAACATTGTCTAGATCAGCTGTTTTTCAACTAGTGTGCTTGGGTGCACTAATGCACCTTGAAAAATAGCCAGGTGCACCACAAATTAACTGAGTAATTTATGCATTATTTTTATCTTTAAAAAGCACATGGCTTCCATGTCTAAACCAAGTCTTTGTCATTTGCTATTTTAAACTGGATGATTTCTTAAGTTTTAAGGTGTGGATAATCCTTTCCCTTTTGCCTTCCTCAAGGGATTTAAATCAGCTGCTCTTAAAAAAAAATAAATAATAATAATAATCATCATCATAAATCCCTTTAAATGAAAACTGTACCATTGTGTTTGGGAATACTAAAACAAAATTTCATGACTAATTTTTAAATTGGTCATTATTGATTAATGACAGACTTAATTGGATTTATGAAGAATATGCTATTAAAAAAAATAGATTCTTCATAAATCCCTTCAAGTGAAAACTCTACTGCTAACCTTTGGAAACGTTAAACCAAAATTTCATATTTTAAAATTTCATGACTAATTTTCCATATTAAAACTTAATGTGTGTGCCCCTAATAAAAAAAGAAGTTGAGAAACGCTGGTCTAGATGATTAAAATGAGCTATGTGACACTTAGACTAGACTAAAATTCATCATGTAATCTCAGTATGATATATTAAAAAAAAACAAAAAAAACCTTAAGTTTTCAAAAATTGGGCCCAAATATTGACATTCAAATTGTCCTGATATCATTTGTATTTCTAAATCTATCCAAAAATGAGGCTTACTCTGCAGAAAATTAGATCATATAGACATCAGTGTTAAATCCTAATGTTTGGTTAAAATGATTTCTATACTATGAGAGAGCATGTTTTTATAACAACAAGATAACAAATAGTCCAGAAGTAGATCAATTAGGATATTGCACACCTCATTCATCATTAGCATTTTAACAATAGTCCTTTACCTTAAGTGGTTTTCAAGCCTTGTATTGGAATTTTGGCATAAAATAAATATTGTAACTTGTGGTGTATAAGTTGACCTTGTTACATTCTTCTTAAAATCAGATCCTCTTCTGATTCACACTACACTAATTTCCACCACTGACTAGATATGAATACTCCAAATGCCCAAAACTGAACTATAAATCCATCAGCTGTGCAAGGCTTCACACATATCTCCCATTTACTCATGCACTCAAAGAAAAGAAAAAAGCAATGCAATTTCTACCCAATAGCACCCACTTCCATCTAAAGAAACAACAAAAACTGGAGCCAACTTGTGCCTCAAAAAGGACATGATAATCCCGTCAAAGGGGCATTAGGCAGTTGGACAGCATCTCCACCGAGTTTACGCACTCTGTTGAAAAACAACCTCCCATTTCCAAAGACATCAGACTCGACCAGCTCACCAAAGGTCATTGCCTTAGTAAGTCACAACTTATCCTCCCCCCTACTTCTGTATGTCTCACTGGAGGCCTTTACATCTCCACTTGCCCCCCACCTTTTTTTCATACAAGAGACATCTACCCTGATTTTTTATTTTGTTGTATTTTATGTTTTATGCAATTGTTTATTGCTTTAAATTCTCATGATTTCTTCATTCTGCCACCATACACTTAATGTGTGATCAAGATCAATCAAGATTTTTAGCTCAAAATCCTGAGTTAGACCTAAACCTACTTCTATAGGTTGACTCCCCCCCAAAAAAAAAAAACAATTAGGTTCCCAGTGAATCAGCTGTTGGATGTGATGTGTGTTATAGTGTTAATAGAATACTGAATTTCTGTTATTATTTTATATTAATTTCTGTCTTAATATGCCAAATATGTTGACCAAACACAAGTTTTAGTGGGATATATTTGTGGCAGCCTTTTGGATATACTATAAGTGGCATATAGGAATTGTTAGGTGTGCTGTCCCACTTATTTACAATCTGTGGTAAAGGTTTGCATTTTACACCTGTCATAAGTCGACTCTTAGTTTAGGAAATAATTTTTAGGCTTGAAATCTCTACTTGTACATCACAATTTACAGTAAATAAGATTAGTGATTAGATACCAGAATGTTTTTTCTTTTTAATTATTTCACCCCAAGCAAGGCAATAATGCCACTAAGTTGCAAAGAGGTTAGTGGGAGTGAAAGAGAATGAGAATACTTTAGATGAAGGAACCAGAAACCTAAACAAGAAACAAGGGATAAACCTTTACTCCTGCCCAAAAATTTGGGAAGAAGGCATATTTTATTTGCAGGATCTGGGGAAATTACACAATTTGATCCATTATCTCATTCCTCTGCTCTTATCCGCTTGCATATCCTTTCCAATCTTTGCTGACTGTCCATGTTTTTATGTAAACATGGATTGGTTTCATATGTGAACAAAGCACTTATATTTTCTACTTCATCCTTTCAATTTTTTTGTTCTTTCTCTATAAAAAAAATTCCACTTTTAATCCTACTCATAAATTCTACTATAAATAGAATTTTATTATATTCTACTTATAAATTAGCACTATGGCTTTAGTGATTTAAATCTTTAAATAGGAGGAATGGTGGAGTAATGGATAGCGGCTTGGATTGAGGAATCTGAGAGCAGAATTCAAATTCCAGTTGAATCTATTACATTGACTTATGTGCTAATAAACTTGGGAAAGGTATGAATCCTCATCTTATCCCTCCAGCTATGGGTAAATAGCAGGACAGACTGGGTTCTGTAGCCTTGGATGGCAACTGGTCTACCACAGAAAGAAATGGCAACCTACTGCAGGAAAAAATCTGCCTTGTCAGTCATGTATCGAAAGATATATGATTGCCTAAGTGTGTATCATGCATTGCACGTAACTGACTGATTTAAATCTTAGAAAACAATAAGAATTGAAAAAACACTATTTATTATTAAAAGATAATATTTATTTCCTTTCATATCTATGCCTGCTTTTTGATGTCGGAATTATAACAATGAACATTGCAAATGCTTATTTTGACTGATGCAGGCCAAATTACGATATGACCCTGTAGAATTGGACCCAGAGGAAATGTGTCGTATGGCAAGTGAAGAACCACAGGTAAGTTATTATTCTTTAAAGGCTATTTAAAACATGAACTGTTGGTTGTCTTCAGTAGGGATTATCCTAATGAAAATTTTCATTGGCAAAATTTTTTGGGAACCTGCAGAAATTCTACAGTATTTATTTTTTTCATATTTCTTTATCTTGCAGGACATTATTTAAAGATGTGGGTACAAATTAACAAGGTTTTCCATTTCACTAAAGCAAAAATTAAATGCATAAGAGCGTTATTGCCTCCTGTTTTCCTCTTTCTATTTTTCTTATGTATAATTTCTTTTGCTTACTAAAACCAAACAGTGTCTTTGAAATAACTTTTTCTTCCATCTGGAATGATCTATTATTTATCTAAGGTAATGGCAGGATTGTACTCATCACTTTTTTTTTATATCTTTATTTCTAGCAACACATTTACAGCTTCAATGTACCTAAAAGTGAGACTACCTGGAAGTAAACAAAAGAGATAAGAATTTACTGTCTGCTGCTGCAGTTATAACCTTGTTATTGTTGATCTGTTGTTCCCTGTACCAGTTCTATCAAAAAACATAATATTCTTGGTGTATTAATCACATGGTGGTGTTATTGATCTTCATGTCTATCTCATGTAGACATCAGCATGTTTGGTGGTAACCAGATTTTGCTCGGTGGTCAATGTGATTTCTGCTGAGAATTGAGGTATGAAACTCAGCAAGTCATGGTAACTTCTTTGTCTCTGTTGAAAACCAGTTTCACAGAACAAATGAACAAATTGTTAATAACTGACAATGGATTTAGTGAATATAAATAAAAGGCCAACCGAGACATGAAACATTGCCAAATTTGTCACAATATGTTGTATATTATCATACTATAAAAAGCAAAGTAAAAACTAAATTGTATTACAGTGAGTAATTTTCTTTTTTTTATTAAAACTTATTTTTTATTTAATGAGTTCATAATGCTGAGACATTTTCTTGCTTTTTATTTTAAAAATAAAAAAACAAAAACAACTTCAGGATTAATTGTATCATTTCCCATAAATTTTTTAAAACTACATTTTGCTAAATGTGATCCTTTTTATTAGGGTTTAGTAAGTTTTGTCGTAGCTCATTTGGTGTGTCTGATTAGGTATGAGAAAAATAATTGGACTATTCGGCACAGCTGTTTAGGTGTCAGACTGTTTTGACTTCACTGTCTTTGATCGAAACGCCATCCAATCTACCCACCCCCCTGAAAAAAATCATTGAAAACAGCCAGCTTTCAATATGACTCTTTTTATTCAATTAGGGAATTAAGGATCCTATTAAAGCACTAATGAAATAATGTAAATTAAAAACTTGAATTAAAAATATTGTATTTCAAAAAGAATTAAAAAACCTAATCTTAGAAATTACTTCTTTCTTTTGTAATTATGAGCAACATCCTTTGGAAATTCAATAGGATCTAATAATTCAACTTCTATTATGACTTTTTTGAGTCTTTCGTCAGCCTGTTTATATTTTTTGCTTCCATTTTGGAATAGAAGGGCTTTGACAACTGAAAAATAAAAAGCTGCACTGAAGGAAATATAATATAACAATGCCTTCAACTACTCTTTTTCTTAAATTGGACTATTTGAGCATATAATGACGAAGTACTAATTTGACTACTAATTGAGAGAGAGAGAGCAAATTTGACTATAATGACAAAGTAGTAATCCAATGCCTAATCATCTCTCTGCTGAAAAATTCCTATGTTGAATCGGTGACACCGAATCAGCAATACCAAATGGGCTACACTGGAACATCCTATTCTCTTTTTATTACACCCTTATGTTTGTATTCCATCTTATTGATACTAACTAAAAACTTACTCTAAAGGATTTTAGGTTCTTGAAGATGTAAATGAGATTTTGAACTTTGTATTTATTGAATTATATTCTCTTTTGTATAAGCTGTTTCCCTTCAAGATATGATCAGTCATGGCTTTCTACAACTTCCTAACATTTGTAGCTGTCAGCAATATTAGTTTACTATTCTTCCTAGTCCCAGGTCTGCCGTCCATTTGCATAAGCTTGTTACATAAGTTAGATGTTTCCCTACTGTCCATCTGTTGTATTGCTCGTTCTAATAACTTGCTTTTATTGTGTAACTTGGAGCAAAGAAAACAAGGATTGACAGAGACATGTGTAGAAACAATAATAGATTTATTTGGTCACCATGTTATTCTACAACTACAACTACACCCTTTTTTCTGAGTTATTTTCCTAACAACCTCTTTCCTTCAGTACACCCTGTGAGTATCAAATTCTCCAAACCCTCTTTCTTTATTATATGTCCCAGAAATTTGAATTGTCTCTTTCTGATTTTAAGCACAAGTGACCTTTTTATTCAGTGTGGATAATGCAAGAAAATTTTAATACATATTTTTATTGGAACTTTATTTGTCTTGACTTTTTATTACAGCCATAAGCACAGACGTAATATCAAAGTATGTTTTTATGAGGAGTTGTTTGTTACTGTTGGGAAATTGATATTTATGGCCTCTAGTGACTATTACTCATAGAGCAAATGTCAATGAAACAACTGATGGACACAAAGTAAGGGTCCACTTTAGCATTATACTTACATTTTAAAATGAATGGCTCACTAAAAACTGAAAATACCTTCAGCTTGATGTCTACATGGTTAAATAAAAAGATAAAGATTCAGTTGTTAACCTGCTGGACACAAAGTAAGGGTCCAGTTTAGCATTATAATTGTAAATTTGAACCTCTTGCTGAAATCTTAATATTTCCTGGGGTCTAATTAATAACTATAGAAAATTTAGTGGGCATGTCTCCAAATGATGTGCAATTGGATGAATTCGTGCAAGGTCATTGATGGTCAAAACTAATAGTTGCCAACACACCAAGAGTTGCAAACATTTGGAACTGCTCATCCAGACACTTCAACTCTAATGATTTATATAGGTACCTGAAATGCCTATGATTGGTCAATAGTAAATTTACATACTGTTGTAGAAGAGTAAGTGTCATTGCCAACATTGTGGTTTGAAACTAGATCGCCAGTGTTGCTCACTGGCGATTCCATTATTAAGTAGATCATGTGAGTATAAAGGAAGTGAATAAATACGAAGTAGCGTAAGGATCACTGTTCACTCTTCCTGTCTATATGTTCACTCTCTCTACTACTATACAGATTACGATTCTCTTCTGATCATTATACTATTTGGTGATTACTACTTGAACAAGTATTACTAGTTCAGATATTATTGAAAGGTGTTACTATTAGTACCGGCATCTATGAAGTCTTGAATATAACGGGCATTTTTGGAATTGATAATGAGCTTTCGCTTGATATAGCAAAAGTGACAAGCAAAGCCGTTCAACATCACAAAAGTGGTGACGAGGATTCAAAAGGAATCACTAAACAATACACTGTCAATTTCTTTAACATGCTTGAAACATGGCTTAGATTTTTCCTTTTGACAGAGAATACATGCAATATGTGGATATTTCGTTCAGGAAGATGATTGACTTTCATTGCTAAATGGTGATAGAGAAAAAAAAAAGACTGCTGAATATGCTGAAGTGACAGTTGGTTAATTTGGTCTTCATATGACACAGAAATCTAAGAGCATCTAAGACTAGCAAAAGATGCTTTTTATAAACTGAGCAAGGTATTAAGAGATTAAAAATTTTCCTTTAAAACAGTGCTGGACTGTTATGTAATGTTTAATTTCTTATATGGCAGTGAATGCTGGACAATTTTCTCAGGGATGAGAATAACAATTAATTTATGTTAAAAGTACCATAGACATAGTATGTAAAAGAAACAAGATTTAAAGAGAATAGAAACTTTTTAAGAAACTACTCAAAACTGTCAGAAAAAGACATCTGAAATTTTTGTGACTAGAATGAGAAAAAGGTTTAGTGAATTAACACTCTCAAGGCATATTAATGGTATGAAAAATGTAGAAAAACAGCAAGTAACCTATTTACACTGTCTATATTGTTTGGACTGTTATCCTCATCTTTATTGTCATATTCATGACATTTCGGCTGTTGTACGCTCCAGCCTTCTTCAGGTGATATATGTTTGAACTGAACCCTTTATTTTGTCCACCGGCCCAATGGATAAAAGTGTTGGTTGAAATAATCCAGTAACTTGACCCAAAGAGTTCTGAGTTCAATACCTGGCTACAGCAGAGTTGAACAAAACGAAGAGTTGAGTCACTAAAGGGAAATAAACAGATATACAGAAAAGTAATGGAACTAGAACAATTTACCCTAGAAATAAAGGATTCAGTTCCAAAATTTTAATGTATATCACCTGAAGAAGATCAGAGCATAAAACAGTTGGAATATTGTTAATATGATAATAAAGATAAGAACAACAAGGTGAACAATGTAATTAGTGCAAATAGTTGTAATACAGCATCTAAGAAATAGACAGATCCTGAAGAAGGTCAGAGCGTACAATAGCTGAGATGTCAAATATGACAAAGATGAGGACAACAGTTCAAAGTAAATAGTTACAATTCCTCATCTCATCTTATCTATTTGATAAGTTTGAATAAATTGATAGGAGTCATCCACTAAGATCAAAGAAGGCTTGTAAGAAGCAAGAACCACTTAGAGTGCACCCCCCCCAAAAAAAAACCTGGATGTTGTAGTGAGTATGATTGCCCATATCCTGAGGGAATATTGTATATAGAGATTGCATTCAGTTTTGTTATTCTAATATCCTTAATGTATTTTTGTACTGCATATATTTTATGTCATCGTTTCTTTTCTTCTTTGCCAGATGTTGTCCAACTATTCTGTCTCTGATGCAGTGGCCACTTACTATCTGTACATGAAGTATGTACATCCATTCATCTTTGCTTTATGTACGATTATTCCCCTTGAACCAGATGAGGTGAGCAGTTGTTTCCGTTTTTTTTTTTTCCTTTTTATCCTTTCTACTCACTCATTATTTTTTTTTTATCATTTAACCCCAAGTAAAGCAATAAAGCCAGTAAGATGCAAGGAGTTACTTAGTGTAAAAGAATCTGAGAAAAAAAATTTGGAAAAGAACAATAACTAAGAAGACAGAAGATAATGATTGACATTGCATTTAAATTTTTGAAGACCAAAGCAACAAGTGAGAAGTACGATAGAAGAAACTGTTAGCGTAGAACGTATAGGTACGTCTAGCAATTTCAACTGTAAAATGATGAGACCTGACTACCAATCTAGTACTGCATTTAAATCTGTAAAGTCGAGATACCAAAGAGGAAAGCTCATGCAAAAAATTAGCTTGAAAATATTTATAGAAAAGGCACAGGAAGCTACATTTTGATGGTGGGGAAAGTGACTGAAGCTGAGGTGCTAGGTAAGGACAGGTAACATTGCAGATTCTCCTTGGATTTTATCAAGAATCTTTAAATACATAGCAGAAGTACTAGACCAGATGTGGCAGCAAAATTCAGTGCATAGATGAATGATAGACTTATAAAGGTGTAAGATGGATTCTGGTGAGGAAAAATTGTACACGAAGGTGCAATGAGTTACTCTCCTGGAGGTTAGCATCAGCCATACTAATGGAAGGCAAAAAAAGGGTTCTATCAGATAATTAAAACAGAGCAGTTTCATTTTGGAGGTGTTGAAATGAGCAAGCAATTTCTTACCCCAGATGAGTTACAAGCATTTTGATGTATTGATTTAATAAATCCAACATGTGATAGCATAAAGAGCTTATTAGATAATAATTTAGATATTTTTAAGTTAAATTATTTTTTATCATTTTATATCAACCTCATTTAAACCTATTAACCTGGAAAGACAAACTGAAATTATTCTTTTTACTGTCAGGAAATAAATAAATTATATAATTTTAAAATTTCTCTTATTTCAGGTTTTACGTAAAGGTTCTGGTACTCTGTGTGAATCCTTGCTTATGGTACAAGCTTACCATGCCAATATTGTTTTTCCAAATAAGCAAGAATCAGTACTGAATAAAATGACTGAAGATGGTCACTTGCTTGATTCAGAAACTTACGTTGGTGGTCATGTTGAGGCACTGGAATCTGGAGTTTTTAGAGCAGACATTCCTTGTCGATTCAGAATGGTAAAGTTATTGTTTGTTTGTTTTTCTTTTCTTCTAAATTTTGCAAATTTTCTGCGCATGGTTTTCTCAGGAATGCGCAATATTACAGAATTATGATGAAAGTTTTTATTTTCAGGTTTCTTCTAAATTACTTGGTAATCAGAAAAAAAAAATGAAAAGTGTCATTTAACTTTTAATTAATTTAATTTAACTTTGATGGAAAAGAATTATTTTACGTTTTAAATATGAAAGCGAATTTATAAGTCTGCAGCCTAACACATTCATTAGCAGAATTTTGATCAGAAATTTTTGCTCTATAATGTTTAAACTCTGTAACCTGTAAAGAATCACTAGCAAGGAAGATGCTTCATTTAGTTTTTGGGTAGTATAAAATTCTTTCTTAGTTGCTCTGATTGTAAATCATCTATGCCCCCTCTGATTTCTTTGATATCACTTTCATATTATAATATATTTTTCTTTTATGTAAGTGACATTTGGTTTTATATCTACAATTACATTTTTTGCTATTGTTTGTGTATTGCTATTTAATTTTTTATGTTTTGTTTTTTATTTTATTACTAGTCAAGTTACCCATGCCTTGCTGCATGTCACACATCACATTCATTTTTTTTGTAGGAAAGTGATGATTGATTTTAAATCATTGTTATTTGTGAAGAAAAATGATACATTTCAATATTACTCAATGATCTTGCTGATATGTCCTCCATCTTCTGGCTTTCTCCTTCTATATTTTAGATAGGAGTCATTCCCTTGTTCAAATTTAAATTTAATTTAAATCAAAAGGAAAAAAATTCAGTTGGAGGGTTTTCCTTGAAACTGTTGCTATAAATAGACACTTGTAAACTGTTATTTCCAGTATTTTAAGCTGGAAATCGCTGACTACCGCTTTGGAACAAGGCTAAATTTCTGTTTACCAACGTCATTTTGAATTCTAGATACATTCTATACAAGGTATAACACCAATTAAACCCACATTAATTTTTTTGTGTTTTTATTTTTTTTAATTTTTTTTTTTTTTTGTAACCAAAAATGGCTGCATTAGTATCCTCCAACAAAGCCTTTATTCAGCAGTTTTTCTTTGATTAGGACTCTGATGCTGATTTTGAAGGCTTTACTTGAGATTCACCAATAAGAAATAAATATGAGTCAGGAGAAAGAAAGAGCAAACAAGTGCTAGTGTCTTCTCGTATGTAAACACAAGGAAACATGCCACTTTTTTGCTTTTTGTTGCACTCCAGAACTCCACAAGGAGTAATAAAAGTTAAAGAACGTTGAATTGCTTATGTATTTTTTAATGTATTTATTTGTTTTTTTTAATTTTTGTTTCATTTTTTTTTGTTTTCAACATCAAAACATGCATGCAAAATGTAATGAATTACATAAAAATATTACTCATTCATTCTTTTATTAGTGTACAAAAATTAAAATCTATACGCAGAATACAAAGAAAGTTATAACAATTTTAAAACAATAGATGTTCATGTTCTTGCACCCTTAAAAAAATGCAGTGGCCTGGGGAACAATTCTAAAAAGAAATTAGCATGGTAAAGGTTAAGCAATGTATAGCCATGATGGGTGACTGCTTGGGAATGAATGCCAGGTGCTGTAAGCTTGGATGTGCTGGTGGTATAATACATAATGGCTTGGAAAGTGACTTTTCTTACATACTGCTTTTGGCAATGTCATTTAACAATTGTTAGCCAAAGATCTTTGGCAGACAAGTGGGGTAATCCCTTAATTCTAACTAACTTGTTGTAAGTCTGTTCTAGTATAAGTTGAATATTTCCTGTTGTGTGTTGTTGCAGTAGTCACTTAATATCAGTGTTATCAAAAATAAGATCTGTTTTTCATGCAGAATTACCTGCTGATACTCTTTATGCTTTAAATAGTGCCAGATCTACAAACAGGCTTATTTATAAGTGTTGTATAAGAGTAAGTGTCATTGCCGACACTAGTTTGAAACCAGATCGCCAGTGAGTAACATGGTTGATTCCATTATTAAGTAGATCATGTGATCATAAAGGAAGTGAATAAATAGGAAGTAGCGTGATGACTATACAATCACTGTTCACTCTTCTTGTCTAGCCACTATTGCTATACATTCACTCTCTCTGCTCTACTACTATACAGATTACGATTCTCTGCTGATCATTATACTATTTGGTGATTACTACTTGAACAAGTATTACTAGTGCAGTTAATATTGGAAGGTGTTACTACTAGTACTGGTGTCTACAAAGTCTTGAATATAATGAGCATTTTCGGAAGTGATAACAGGCTTTTGCTTGACAGCAAAAGTGACATGTGAAGCCATCCAACATCACAAAAATAAGATATTGTTATTAAGCAGATGTTGCACAAAATCAGGTCAAGATAAGGCTGGGAATACCGTGTGTGTGTGTGTGTGTGTGTGTATTATTGACGGCTTACTAATAAGCATCCAACCTCCCCACAAATATAAAATCCTGAGTGCACATATATATGATTATGCGTCGTAGTTGTTTATTAGTAAATGTAGAAAATCAATTTGTACGTTATACAACTATCAAATTTTAAAGCACTTACTCTTTATACTTTTTTCTACTTTCATTGCTTGACATAAACTGTAATCAGTCCAACATCAGATCTCAATTTCAGCATTATTGTTTTATAATTGACTAGAAGTAGAGCCCGGCATTGCCTGGGGATGTAACAATAAGAGATAGATCAAGTATCGACCATCATAAAGACTGAAAAATTAAAATTGACAAAGATTATTGTTTAAGATTGACGGACACGCATGTCTTAATTAGTTTTTTTTTTTTTATTTACGAATTGGTCAAACCCAAACTCAAACAAAAACATTGTTTTCAATCGTTATGAGTCTATCGATTGAATAGAATTTTATTATAAACAATTGTCTTGTAAATGGAATTTTTAAAGCATTCTGAATGTAAAAATAAAGAAAAAAGTGTGCAAGACAATAAGAAACACTACCTGCCAAAAAAAAAGTGAAGTTTTGTTGAAATCGGTTGAAAAATATAGGAAATCCAATCCCATATATAAACGAATACAGACACACACTCACAAACAACCTGGGTTTTATAATAAGTATAACTCGATATGAGTTGTCCCCCTTTGATTCTCATGATGTCTCTTAATTGTGTTTTCAAATTGATTTTGTGCAAAAACAATTGTGTTTTTCCAATTTTTGGCACTGTCAGAACCATCGCAAGGTAATTTTACGTAGTCCTGTGGAGTTTTGTTGAAATCGGTTGAAAAATGTAGGAAATCCAATCCAATATATAAACGTACAGACACACACACACACACACACAATCTGCGTTTTATAATAAGTAAGATTAAAACACAGGAAATATCTGATCATATCTCACACACAATACTGATTTTGATAAAGTTTGATTCAATAATTATTATATTTGGCAATGAAAGATAATTAAATTGGTCATGGCTATATCTAGCACACAATACTGAGTTTTTGTCTGTTAATAGCTAATAGAATTTTTGCTAAGTAATCAATATCTTAATGGAAAGAATATATTCAATTGGTAACAGTTATATCAACACAAAATGTTTACCTAACTAATAAATATTATTTTGATTTAATACATGATGATCAAGGATAGGTTTGCCTATTGCCTGGTTCACAGTACTTCCCAGTCTTTTGAACAGGAGTAGTAGATTATTTCACACATTTTTTGTAAGAAAATGGTGATTGATTTTAAATCATTGTTATAATTTGTAGAGAAAATGATGCATTTCAATATTACTCATTGATCTTGCTGATATGACCTCCATCTTCTGGCTTTCTCCTTCTGTATTTAGGAGTTATTCCCTTGTTCAAATTTAAATTTAATTCAAAGGGAAAAAAAAGTTTTTAGAGTGGTGTTTGTGTAAAAACAGCTTGATCTGACATCTTTGATATGTATTTGATGCAATACTTGTTTGAATAAATTGATGAGCAGATTTGAACATTAATATGACATTTGAATTGTTGCAACAAATATGTATTGTAAGGCAGAGATTGGCAACCTATGGCATGTGTTTCACATGTGGCACACCAGGCTATTTCTAATGGCAAGCAGCCGCAAATGACGTCATGAAGTCTGAACCAATAACTACTACAATGCAAAGAAGATATTTAGCTGTTACAATTTTAACATCTACTAAAGTATACATAATATATATTACTATATAAAATATATTGTAGAACAGGTATATTGACCTTTACTTGTATAAAAATATTTATGCTGTTGGTACACTGAATGATTTTAAAACCTTTTGTCAGCACATAGTTAGCAAAAGGTTGCTGACCCCTTTTTTAAGGCACTACCCACTGATTGGTGATTTCTTGTTCAAATTGACGTCCATATTGTCTCATTTTAATCTTGCTGATGTAACCAGTACACAAGGATACTAACTTCTACCATCGTTTAACCAATTTCATAATTCTAACTTAGCAAAGCTTTCTATTGTTTTCAAGCTTACGGTCATATCATGTTGAAACACATTGTTCCCATACAATCTCTGAAGTTAATAAATGTCAAGCCTGGTCAGTACCAGTGACTGCTTGGGAAGACTAGGTGCTGCAAGCTTGGATATGTGGGTGGTGTCAGAATGGCTCGGAATTGTTAATCGGAGAGCTGAGTTTCAATTCCAGTTGGGTTTGTTATATTTGCTTATGCACAAATACCCTTGGGAAAGGTATGAATCTGCCTCTTCTCCCCCCAGCTATGGGTTAATTAGTAAGACTTGTTTTTACTAAATTGTTATCTCAAAAAAAAAATTCTTTTCAATCTCTGGCTTTAAAGAACCTGCAAAGTAGTAGAAAACAATCAATCAACAATTGAACTAATATCCTCATCTTTGTTATTATCACATTATGGCTGCTCTGCACTCCGAGCTTCTTCAGGTGTCTGTTGATTCAGGTAATTATCAAATTGAATGGTTTATTTCATCTATGGATGAAGTAAGGGTCGATAAGCTGTAGAAAACGGATTAACGAATCTATCAATTTCTTTTGTTTTATCCCAACATCTTCTCTACGTGCCTTTTGCAGTCTTCTAGGCAATTCATTTTTTTTCTCTTCATTAAAAGAATTGTTTAAATATAGGAATAAATGGTAATATGAAGGTGCAATTATGTGGAGAATATTGTGAAATTCTAAAGAATTAATAGACTTATTTTTAATCCAACATTTTTAATTATAGTGAATGTGTGAAAACTAACCAGCCAAGTTGTAACAATTTTTACTTGGTCACCAGCGAAACATAGCCTAGCATTATTATGATGGAATATTACACCCTTTTCCTTAATTAACTTTAGTTGCTTTTCATTGATTGCTACTTTTGGTATATGGAACAGTACTTAGGTAGCAAACTAATATTACTATCATTTTTTCTTCTTGTTTTTAATACAGGTCCCTGATGCCTTTGATACATTGATAAATGCTGTTGAGCGGACAATGAAGCATGCAATTGAAGTAGAAGAAAAAGTTCCATTTGAGCAAGTCACAAATTTTGATGAAGTCTGTGCTGATATAAAAGAACGTCTTGGGGAACTGAAATGCTGCCCCAACCGGTTGGAGAATCCGATTATTTACCATTTGGATGTTGGTGCTATGTACCCAAACATCATTCTTACTAATAGACTCCAGGTAAAAAAAAAAAAAAATTAAGTTGTTGTGCTATAATTGTATTATTTCTTTTGTTAAAATTTGATATAATCATGTTTTTGGTTGGTGAAATATGTTTTAATAAGAGGATTATTAATAGATAGAAAAAAAATTCTATTTTGTTATTCATTCTGATTTTCTTATGTTTATTTTATGAAGCCCTCTGCAATGGTTGATGAAGAAACTTGTGCAGCTTGTGATTTCAACAAACCTGGAGCTACCTGTCAGCGGAAAATGACGTGGATGTGGAGAGGAGAGCATAGTAAGTTGTTTTTTTTTTTCTTTGTAGTCTTTAATATTCCCTGTTTGTTACCTTGAATAAAATTAACATTATTACTCAATCATTATTCAAATTAGATTAATTCAGTATTTAATATTTAAAAAATTTGGTCAATTCAGATATCTTCATGACAAAGATTCATCTTTTCAAATTTTTAAAGTTGACAATACTTGGTTAAAAAAAAACCCAAAAAACCGTCTTGTTCTCTTTGTATTTTAACTTTTTTTCAAGTAAAGCATATCTAAATCAAAGACAAATATTCATATTTTTATAATTTTTTAATAAACAAGTAAATGTATCTCAAGAAATTTTATTGTATATGTGGGTTTTCTGTTCTGGACATAAAGTGTGTAAAAATTGTCCAAATGTTCTATATATCCAAGTGCTTTTGGCTATTCTTTTAGCCATTATCAAAGATGATTTTTATTTAATATATGTTTAACAAGAAGAATTAAATAAAAGGCTCAATTACAGTACCTTGCCTGTTGCCTTTAATGAAACTTACAGACACACACATACACACACACACACACACATATATATATATATATATATATATATATATATATATATATATACACGTTATTTTTAAATATAAGTTTATAAACATTTTATAATTTATGAATTATTTTAAATATTAAATTTTATAAAAATAGTAAGTGTGGTATTTTCTTAAAATAAATTTAAAATATTAAAATTTTAGCATCATATTATTATTATTAGTAGTATTTTTTTAAATTAAAGAAACTGTTAAAATAGTCTAGTCATAGCTTAATATTCCCTTATTGAAATTTTAGAAATATCCTTTTAATACTTTTCTACAAGTATCTTTTAATTAAAATATTAAAAAATTAATTTCTCAAATTTGTGTGATGGGAAAAAGTTAAAAAAAAGAAAAAAAGAGGGACTCTGTATTAAATTTTAAAAGAATTGTAGTTGCAATATTCATCTGAGATAGAAAAAAATATTGAGTAAAAACACTGATAAAAACATATGATGAAGACACTAGTCAGTATATATGATAGAACAATATAAATCGGTTTTGTTACTTGTTTCTTTCAGTGCCTGCAACAAGAAGTGAATTTCAGAGAATCCAGCAACAGTTAGAAAATGAGAAATTTCCGCCTGCTTTTCCAGATGGCCCAATGCGGGCATTTCATGCACTTCCTACAACAGAACAGGCTGCAATTGAGAAAAAACGATTAGCTGGTAGGTCAATTAATATATGTTGATATATCAACCCAACCAAAAAAAAAACTTTAGTGAAGTTGATGTCACTGGTTCATTTCTTTCACCAGAACATTTGTCTAATGAAATTTGTTAGTTGCATACCTACCAAAAATTAATATTAGGTATGGTCTTTTGTGCCCTCTTGACAGGCCGGGACTTTGTTGATCTGGGTGAGATTTCGATCATACTATTTCTTCAACATCGGACTATTTTGCTGAAAAAGCTGTAAATGTGCCAACCAAGGAAATGAATATGTTGAAAAATTATCAACAATTTAAATAAAGGTGTAATGTAAAAATTGTGGGGCTGTTTTGTCCTAATCACTCCTTATCTACCCTTGAGGCACTGAGAGGCCTCCGTTAAGTAATGCTGGTGGTGCTAATGTTTTACCAGTGAATAACTTCTATGGTGGATTTTCTATAATGTACAATGAAGGATGAAGCTGATAGTTTTCTCTGCATGCATTTGACTTCTCTGGGTAACTATCCAACTTTCTGATTCTTACACATGTGTACTCTGTTTATATCTGGGAATAGACATGATTAATTAGCTTCTCAAACAAAGAACCTCCTGTTAAATAACCCAGATGGTTGAATTGCTTTTCAATTTGGGCCTGGATTTCCAGAGTTCTCAAAATTTACATTTAAATCAACACAAATACACCAGATAGTTTATTAAACAAGCAAACCCTAAACCTGTGTACTTTTGGCAAACTTATCAGTCCTGTCATGCCAACTTTCTTGGGGTTATGGAGTTGTGTGGAGAGTGTCAGTTATGCTGAATCTTACTAAATCTTACTTAATTTAATTTGCATTAAACTCTTCCAAGGCCCTTGTTATAAGTATTTTATGGGTTTCAATTAATATTTTTAAACTGAACTTTTTTTCATCAGACTCCAATCCAACTAACCACTCTCCCATATTTTTTTCTCCTAATATCTCTACTTTTTTGCTTGGAATTATTTTGTAATCTGCAATTGGTTTCTTTGTTTAGTAAGAAGCTCTGTAACTGCGTTGAAGCCACATTCGAAGTTGAAAAAGTAATGAAAAAATCTTTGATAGCTTTCCATAACACTTTCAGAAATTTCCTTTTGTAGCCAATATTGAATAATTTTTGAAAATCGGAATAAAATGGATACATGCCCACTGTCACCTGAGTATGTTCACTTGCCCCACAAATGAAATAAAAAAAACTCCCAGTACCCACTTTCAACATAACAGAGCCCATAAGGGGGTGTACCCACTTTGGGAAACACTGATTTATAACAACTAGCTCAAGCGACAAGTTGCTGATTCTAGTAAGGGAGACAGAATTCTGTGGCGACTATTGTCACCTGCAGTGTGGTAAAGGTTAATATAAACAGTAAAAGCAAAGTTTTACATCCCAAGTTATTTTACATGTTAAATTTAAACCTCAGATTTATGTTTTATTGAACTATCTTGTTTTGGTAATGTTTTATATTTACACTATAGAATATTGCAGGAAGGCTTATAAGAAAGTTCATTCCACTCGACTCGGTAAAAAGGTGGCCACAATTTGCCAACGAGAAAATTCCTTCTATGTGGACACTGTTCGTGCCTTCCGTGACAGGCGTTATGAATTTAAAGGTTTGGTCAAAGTATGGAAACGTAAGCTGGCTGAAGCTGAAGCTTCTCAGGATGCTGCTGAGATCAAAAGAGCCAATGGTATGGTCGTTTTGTATGACTCTCTCCAATTGGCACATAAATGCATTCTCAACTCCTTTTATGGTTACGTCATGAGAAAAGGGTAAGTATCTCTTTGGTTTAAGTTTTCACATTTCTTTCATCTTAATTTTTGGTTGCTTTTCATTGCAATGTAGATTTATTTATTTTTTACTGTAATTCACTCATTACATGGCTCAAGAACCATTCAAGGTCAAGGGCTACTGAATGAGGTGTGTAATATTGAATGTATGAAGAGGAATATTATGACGAATAATGATTAACCCTAGATTTGAAGAGGCTAAGGTTGTAGTGTTTGAGGAAGCCTTGATGTTAGAATCTGTGCTACAAAGTAGAAGTTTTGGGGAAGAACCTTTTGCAGTGGAATACTCTTCTTACCAAAGAAATATGTAGGGAATGACTGATTCAATCTTGTAGATGTAGCAAGGCTGGTATTGGGCATAAAGGTCTGAGCTATTGACCCTAAAAAATGGAGCTCATTTGAACATATGCCATAGTGTAGTAATAGTATTGTGACATTGCGTTTTAGCGAAAAGGGTGGTATGTGGAAAATAAACCATCCCCCAACAAGAAATTATGAATTTATATGTGCGTTTAAAACTCAGTAAATTTAAAAATAAGTTATTCCAAAATTCGCTTGAAGATGAAACAGAACTAATGCTTTTAATTTAATTATATAATTAAATTTGAAGTTTTTAGCTTCAGTTTTTGAAACATGGTTATTACTGTGTAGCAAAGAAACCATATTTTAAATCATTTAATTTATAATATTTATGCTCTGTAAATGTACATTGAGCACTTTTGAAAAATAAAAAATATCACTAAGAACATTGGATTATATATCTTATACATACACACACACACACATATATATATATATATATATATATATAGAAGGTATGTAGAAGTTTACCAGCAGTGGCACTTGAAGAAGATGAAAGTGTAAAAAGTTGAAATATTGTAATTATAACAACAGATAACATGAGCCTTAGAAAATCAGTATACAAAAATAATTTCTCATCTAAAAAATTCAAAAGAAAGCAGAAAAAAAACATCATTTTTGTTAGTGACTAAATTTTATCTAATTAATTATTGACTTTTTATTCTGCAGTTTACATAGCACCATCTGAGGCAACTAAAGATTGCTTATCAAAATATTCCTCTTTTCAGCAATATGAAGAAATTAGCCTAAAAATAAGAAAGTAGCTGCTTCTCTTGTTTTGCTAACAATTTTTATTTCTTTTAGAGCTCGTTGGTATAGTATGGAAATGGCTGGCATTGTTTGCTACACAGGTGCAAACATCATCACAAAAGCACGAGAAATTGTTGAGAGAATTGGGTAAATATTTTTTTTTTTTTTTAATATTTATCTGCAGCTTTTTGTTTTTCCTCTTGTGATGTCAGTTTTCTTCAGTATTTTCATTATTTGTACTTATGTCTATAGTTCTGAGATGAGGTATTGTAACTATTTACATCATTTGCACTGTTGCCCTCATCTTTATTGCCATATTCACAACGTTTTGGCCATTGTATGCTCCAGCCCTCTTCAGGTGATATATGTTGGAATTTTGAACCAAATCTTTTATTTTGTCCATGGGGGTAGATGGGGGTGATTCAACGTGCTATGCCTTTTGTATTTTTATTTTTTATTTCATATCTCAGTTTCATTTAATTCCCCAAGGACACGTGACCCAGTGGATAAAAGTGTTGGTTGAAGTGATAGAAAAAGTGACTTGACCCAAAGAGTCCTGTTGAAAGATTGCAACCGGCATTAAAAGAGAAATGGATTATTCCAAAATTCCTATATCGCAGGCAGATGTACAAAGGAAAAAATAAAAAAGACTAAGAATTCAAACCAGCTTGAATTTATAAAATTGGAAGTCTCAGGTGAACGAGAAGTAAGTCTCGTATGCAAATTTTAGTTGCCCCCGATGCTGGCATAAATAGCGAGTCTGGGAGGAAGACGGGGGAGAGCGCATTGTTGGTGTGACGGTGTACATGCATACTAATGAGACCGAGAGAATAAGAGGTCACTAGCGATAGCTCAGTTGGTAGACTGGAGGACTGGATGAAAGCAAGCCCTTGAATCCATTTCAGTTATCACAAACAACGGGCAAACTGAATTACCCACATCAATACCTAGCCACAGTCAAGGAAACAAAAACTTGGAGAATTGACTGAAACTGTGATATCCAAATAAGGCATAAGCATATGGAATTAGAACAATCTACCTCTGTAGAATAAAAAAAGGGTTCATTTGAAATTCCAATGTATATCACCTGAAGAATGCTGGAATGTACAATATTGTTCATAAACCTGTAATTAATATTGTATTTTATTTTATAAACCTTGTAAACATTTTTGTTTTCCATCTTTGCTCTGATGAGAGAGGACCTATGAAGTGGTTTATCTTTTTTATTAATTGTTGCGATATTATTTTACAGTAATATATTTTTTGTTACCCCTCTTTTTTTATTATGGATTTTCTTTTATGTCTGTTTTTCTTGCTCTACTAATTAATAATAATTATATTAGAATAAAACAAAATGGAGTAGGTAATAAGTTTTAGATTACTTTGAATCCTTTAAAAATTTACTGTTGAAGCAGGGAACTTTTTTTTTTTTCCAGGCGACCTTTAGAGTTGGACACCGATGGTATCTGGTGTGTATTACCAGCAACATTTCCTGAAAATTATGTTGTTAAAACAACTCACCCCAAAAAATCAAAGCTGACCATTTCTTATCCAGGTGCCATGTTGAACGTAATGGTACAGGTATGTAATATATCATGTTTGTAATTACAGGTACGACATTGATTTTCTAGCACTCTCAGTTCAAGGAATGTATCAGCTTATCCATTTTGTTCGTCCAGCAGGGCCATGAATATAAGACAACATAATTTTATGCAACATGTACCAAACTTTAGCATTCTCAAATGTATTGAGTGCATTAGCATAGCAAATTCCATTCTGACATGGGAAATGAAAGAAAATGCCATTCTTGAGATTTAGCTGTAAATCACAAGACTTGGATATAGTGAGCTTCTTGGAAGTGAACAGGTAGAACAACAGATGAATTTGTTCATTCTTAATGGATGTACTCACAGTGATACATACTATCATATAGTACATAAATGAATGGAAATTTATCATTTATATAAATAAGCGGAGTTGAGGAGAGTTAGCATTGAGTCAATTGATAAGTGTAACTTTGTGTTGTAAACCTTCTATTTCATTACTTACCTACAAGTTTGTCTTTCTTATTGATTTCCCTCTTATTTCAACACAAAATACAATACATACCAAGTTCATATCTGTTATACTGAAACACACCTATTGTATTGTTAATAGACTCTCCCACATATAATAAGTAGTAGTAGTAGCAGTCGCTCAGTGAGTTGGTGAGTCAGTCGATGTCAGACATTAAAGTATCAACCACCACAACTAGATTGCTGCGTCATTAACTATTATAACAAGTTCCTAACGTTTTGTACGTCGAACCTTTTTAGGACCGACTTAGTGAAATACAAGCCTCCACTGGGAAACTACTCTACAACAATATCTTTGATGCTTCTGGGGCACAAGGGTCCCTCTTCTTCTATGAGGCCCAAGTGTCAATGTCACTGCTTATATGGAGGTCAAGCCTTGAATCAAGGGGGTTTGCAGTACATAGCCCAACAGGATGTGGCTCCTTCCCTTAGAGTGTACATAATCTATGAGTGGCTGGCTGAAAATTTTCATTATCCTGTTGTCATATTTGAACTTCTTTCTTTTTTAATTTGATTCCCTGGATTACTGTTTGTGTGTGTGTCCTTTTTTTTTTTTTGTGAATAGGTTGAGTATCTTTGTTATGTAATGTTATTATTGCATGAACATGCTTTTATTTATTTATTTATTCAGGATGAATTCACAAATCATCAATATCAAGAATTGGTAAATCCTGCAAATCTTCACTATGAGGTACGCAGTGAAAATTCCATTTTCTTTGAAGTGGATGGACCTTACTTGGCAATGATTTTACCAGCATCCAAGGAGGAAGGCAAGAAACTGAAAAAACGTTATGCTGTGTTCAACTTTGATGGTTCCCTTGCTGAATTAAAGGTTTCTTTTTTTTGTATTTTATTAATTACTTTTATTTAATACATTCACAGCTACCTTGGGTACTTAAATCCTAACATAATGACATTTATGTTTCTGTACATTATCATTACAAAATACTATGTAAGACTACTACTTATTAAGGGAATACAACTGAGGGTGGTTTGCCACAGTGTGCGGTGGGTTAGAGTTGGTGAAACTAAGGAATGCAGCTTGTCTGAACATTTTTCATGGAAATAGCTTTACAGTAGCCAGCATTGTTTTGTTAATGGAAATTCATCGCCCACAAGGCCATATAGGTGCTTTTGGACTCTATCAAGACTGGAAAGTGAAGACTGGGCATCTCCTGCACATATATGTTAGCAGTACTTGATTTTCGGCCTAATCTGGTTCTTTATAAAGGTGGAGCATAGCAGGAGTCAGGTACTTGCTGGAGTGGTACAGTAAGTTTTCCAACATCTTTAGTGATGGATCATAATTCCACGAGGTATGGGTTTAGCTTAAGTCACAGTAGGTGTTCAAGGCAAGGGGTTTCTTTGAGAGAACGCTATAAGCCTCAGAGATACTGTAGTTAATCTTTAGTTTGTTCTTGAGAATTTATGACAAAAATATTAATCACTATTAGATTGTTTATTTACAACATTCTAAAATCTAATATAATTAAAACTAATGCAATGTAATATTTAACATTTATAAAGAAATAATTATGAAAACAAATTTTTTATTCATAAATTTATAAACATTTACTAAATTATTAAAATATGTGAACCAACTATAAGGAAAACCTTATTTACTATTTTATAATGTTTGAATTGATTGGCAGTTAGCCAATATTTTGCCAACTATTCCAATAAATAATATAATAATGTAATTAAATAATCTAATAAATAAATAGTGTTTATTATTTTTATTGTAAATTTTATTTGTTTTTTTTTTTTTTTTAATGTCATATCAACTAGTGAGTCTTTTAATGCCAAAGTAAGTATAGTTGGGATTTTATATTTGTGTATTATTATTTTGCAGTGAAATTAAGTTAAGTATTTTTCTTTTTAACATAGTCATGTCAAAAGTTTTGTATTTGTTGTAAAATTTCAAGAACAAAGAAAATGTATAAAGTCACTTCAATATGTTTAGGTTCATTACATTTCTAATCATCGCTTTTTAAAACAACCATTGCCAAGGAGTGAAGGCATTTAAAATAATAGCAGTGTCTCTGGGAAAACCATCCTTTTGATTTTGTGGGATGGAATGTTCAAGTTTGCCCAATATTTTTCATTCTGGTAAGTGTTAGATAAAATATATATATAGATTATCTCGCTTAGATATCTCCTACTGATAAGGAATGGAAGAATCCATTAAAGTAAACAAGACCAAAATTGAGTGGGAAAGAAGACACCAGTAGAACACACAGGGAACCACATGTTTTTTTGCCTACTTCAAAGAACAGAAAGACACTGGATCCAACATGCAACTAATAGACGTGTTTTAGATGACTCCAGACTGGAGACCCCAAGAAGAATATGATGCAATGAGATGAGTCTCCAGACCACTCAGAACAGGAATGCTGACCTGAATAATGTGAGGACATGCAGAAAGTACAGCAGAATAAGAGACAGCAATCAACTAAGTGTCATCCATTTCAAAAAGATATATTATTGGATTTTGTCCCCTAAGCTTTGACAATAACCACTAAAGTAATATGCTTTTAGCAATTTTGATCTGTTCTCTTTCATTGTATATAATTTGTACCCTGTATAAAGAATGTTTTACAATGTTCAATTGTCTCTCTCTTCATTCATCAGGCCACAACTCTGTATGGGAGGTCGCTAAAATTTCCGCAGTTATGTCTTAAGAAAGGTATATAGAATACTAATTGTTAAGGGATCCATACCCTTTTTATACAAGTGGACTCGCCCAGTGTGTACTTGTATTGCTACCGGTGAATACCCAGGAGTGAGACAGTGAGAGTGGGAGGTAACCGCTTTCTAGGAGTCACAGTTGCGAGCACGTAGACTCAGAAGGAAGTCATACTTCGATACTGAATTTCCCAGACTGTATATATATTATTATTGCTACTAACCGCATTTCTGGATCTACTAACCATATTACCAATTGTATCATTACGTCAATACATTTATTTGCTATATTTCATTCCTGCATTTGTCATTCATTTGAGACCGGATTTCATCCCAGAATCCACAACACTAATCTACAAAAATTATTTCCTTAAGAATAGTAAAGAAACATCCAAAGACTATTGCAAAGTCTTGGTAGAAGATCTTCAGTAATCAGGATAACAGTTACACCTCAACAATTTTATTAATTTCTTCTCTTGCAGGGATTTGAAGTGAAAAGAAGAGGAGAGCTTCAACTTATCAAGATTTTTCAATCATCTGTATTTGAGGCTTTCCTTAAAGGTGGCACATTGGAAGAATGTTATGAAGCTGTTGCCAAAGTTGCAGACTATTGGTTGGATGTTCTGTACAGCAAAGTAAGTGTACAAAGTACCTTATTGGTATTTAATTAACTTTTCATCTTTTATAAATTTGTATAAGGCCAAATTTTGTCTGTGTCCCCCCAGTTTATATCATTAGAACAAAACAGCCTGTATTGTTAATTCGTACATATAGTCAAAAACAGGCTATGATATTGTACGTATCATATGATATCAGATGAAACTTTCTATGATAATGTACATATCATGATATTGTATGAAACCTTCTATGATATTGTCCATATGATATTGTATGAAACCTTCTATGATATTGTATATATATATGATATTGTATGAAACCCATGATATTGTACATATCATGATATTGTATGAAACCTTCTATGATATTGTACATATCATGATATTGTATAAAACTATGTTATCATAAATATCATAGTTGAAAACAGCCTACATTGTTTACCAGCTTTTTTTTATATTACTGACAAATGGTGTTTACAACATTAGTAGTAATATTTAATTTCCATACCAATTTTTAAAAGCATATTTTAATAAATATTTCTCTTGTGTTATTTATTTTTAATCCAAATTTTAAAAATTGCCATATATAAGAAATATTTCTGTTGGTGAAGTTTTATTTTTAACATCGTGTTTTTATAGAAAGAGTTTATATTTGCCTGTAAACATTCAGTTGTAAGCTAGAAAACCTAGTGTTCATAATAAGCATTGTTGTGGTCTGCTGTTTTACATTACAAAATAATCTGTTTAATTCTTCTTTTATGTGCTGTGTCCCTTCCACAAATATATGCAATGTCATTACTATTGTGTCATACCTCTAAGAAAAGGTACCCACAGAACAAGCTTTTACTCTTCCTGGCCTCAGAACACCACCCAGCATACTCTCCACATTTTGACCCATACATCTCAACATATATGATTGATTTCAGAGATGCAATATTACATCTTGAAGGAACCAAACTAAAAGACATCATCATATTTTAATGTGCTGTTCTTCTGAATCATGGTTCTCTACAATTTCCTGTTCTTTGAAGCTCTTAATAAATTTTGGCATATTATCTCTACTAAACCTTGCCCTGCCATCCATGTACTCAAGCTCATTAGGTTGATTATGTGTTGTTTACCTCTGTCCTTCTTGCCTCCAATCTGTCATGTGAGTATCAAATTTTCCATGTCCTCTTTCCTCATTATACACCCTAGAAATTTCATCTTTTTTTTTTTTTTTTTTTTTTTGATGTTAAGTATAAGTGTCCTTTTTGTTTTCATTTTCTATAAAACTTTGTTGTTCATCAAATGTTTGGTCCATGGTATTCACAGCATCCTTCTGTAGAACCACATTTCTGTTGCTTCAAGTATCTTCTTCATCTGTAAGAAAATTGTCCATCATTCACTGCCATATAGGAGGAGTGATATTACATAACAGTTCAGAACTCTTTTTTTTCTTTTTTTTTTTGTTTCTAACAAAATTTTTCCATTTCTTAATACTTCGCTTAGCTTTTGAAAGGCAACTTTCGCTATCCCAATGCGCCTCAGGGTTTCAGTGTTGTATTTCTGTCTCCTGTTAAAACAGTTCTTAAATATTTAAATTGTTGTACTTGTTTGATTTTTGCATGTTGGGCTGTTCCTTTTGCTAACAACCATGTGTTATGTCTTCTTGCAAATGATGTTTAGAACTTTCTTCTTGTTTTCCTTCACTACCTTTTGTAGCAGTTCTTGTACACCAACAATGAATTCTGGTAGGATTTCCATTTGTCTCATAATCACTGTATAGATTGAATGAGTCTGATTTGAAGACGCATCCTTGTCTTATGACTTCTAACAATCAAATCTGTTTAATTAGATTTTCTTAGAACTGTATCAAATTATTTAAACTATTGAAAAACTAGTAAAATTTTTCTTATTACTATAAACACCAGAAAATTATTCAGATGTTTCTCTCATGGCCAACTTTATGTAGCTATGTTCAGAGTAGGAAATTCAAGTGAAATTAGTGTAATGATATAAAAAACTTTTGAAAATAGATGTTTTACTAAAAATGTTGTTTATACAGAAATTTTAGACATGTAAAAAGTTCTTGGACAACTTTTCTCTGTTTGTAGGATAAATATTTGGCTAGTACATTAAAACTCTGTCTTTTAGTTAAAACAGTGAAATCACTTGTAAATAATAGGGGAAAAAATATTTTTTCTTTTTTTTTTTTTTTATGAGTGGATCACTCTAATTATTGCTGTGTGTGCATATGTTTTTTTTTTTTTGTCTTCAAGCAGATCTTGTATTTTTTATTTTTATTTTTTAAAAATATATTTTCCTTTGTCTTGTAGGCAGCAAATATGCCAGACTCTGAACTGTTTGAATTGATTGCAGAAAACAGAAGCATGTCCCGTAAACTGGAAGATTATGGTCAGCAGAAATCCACTTCCATTAGTACAGCGAGACGATTGGCTGAGGTTTGTAACATAAAATTTAGTTTTATTTTATCAAATGTTCGAAAGATTTATCAAGAATGTTTGTACAAACACAAATGAGTTACTTATCATCACTGTTATTCTGTTTGTGAAGTAATGTTTAAAGCCATGTTTGATTATTGGAGAAGCAGGGTAATAAATTTGTACTGTCCCTGTCCCATTTATTATTCTTTTTACAATGATGTCCACCCTGTACAAGGCCCAACAGCCACTCGAGATAGAGGGTTACAGAGTTAGAGGCACAATTTATAGAAATTAGTGGGGAAGATAACTGTTGATGCTAGATTTGAACAGGTTCAGGTTGGAGTGATCGAAGAAGTACCCTCTCGGAAGTTGGTTCCACAAAGCAATTTGTGGGAAGAAGCTGCTTGAGTGGAACTTACAGCTCACTAATGGAATATGAAGGTAATGAAGGTAGTTCGCTACAATATGTGTAGCATGTCAAGTCTTAGGAGTGAAGGTTAAAACTGGTGGAGCTAAGGAATGTAGCTGATCTGAACACTTTCCATAGAAATAGCAATAAAGCAATGAGGGGTTTTGCGATATTTTTTTTGTGAGAAAGGGATTGTAAGGTGGAAAATAATTTGTCACTCATAAGAATGTGGAGATGGTATTGGGTTCTATCAAAACTTGAAAGTAAAGACTGGGCAGCAGTAGTCCATTTTCAACCTGATCTGGCTCTTGTAAAGGTAGAGGATAGCAGTAGGAGGAGTCAGGTACTTACTGGTGCAGTACAGGGAACTAACCATTGACTTTGAACAACAGCATGTAACTCAAAGAGAGAAAGACCTAATCAAGATGTTAATACTCTACACTAGGTTTGGAAGGAAGCTCCCATCAGTACTGGAAAGAACACTAACAGCTACTGGACATGAGAAACCTATTTTCCTAAAAATTGTTTTAAGAAAAAAAAAAAATTCTAAATTTCAATCAACGCTGGCTCTGGTTGCTCAGTCAGTGAATTCTGAATGTTTTCTTTTAAGGAAATGGCTAATATTGCCATTACCAAAATATTCATTTAAAAACAAAAAATGCCAGTACAAATAATTCATTAAATAAAATATTAAATTTATACTAAAAAAAAATAATACTGATATTGACTATTGATTTTCTTAGTCACCCCACTTACCAACTAAAAATTTATTAAAGGATGGTATAGTTGACAATTATTTATCTCTGACTCTAAATAAATTCTTCTACCACCAAATATATTGCCTTATCAATGTTAAAGCAAAAAGGTTGAAATGAAAAAAAAAAAAGTAATCACTTTTGTTGGCTGTGGCAGAATATGCAACTCACTTGACTGAAGAATTTCTGTATATTTTTGTGGGCTGATTCATCACCACGGTGGCCCAGGCTTGCTGGGTGATTTTATTGAGTCACCATCTCTAGAATGGTTGTCAACCAAGGCTATAGATCCCGGTTTGCTCTGCTATTTAACCCATAGTTGGGGGGAGAAGAGATGGATTCATACCTTTTCTAAGGGTATTTATGGGTAAGTGAATGTAATAAACTGGAATTTCAATCCAGCTCTCTGATTTCTCATTTTAAGCTGAAATCCATTACACAACACATAGACACGCACACAAACACATCTATGACTGAAAAGAATGAGAAGAAAAAGTTGTAGTTTCAAATAAAATAGCAATAATTATTTTTTAAAATAAAACTATCTTTTAAGTTCAGCTTTAAAAAAGATCGAGATAATAGACTGAATAATTCATGGTATCTTACCACATTGAGCCTTGAACAATTTTGTAGGAATTTTTTCATAAGCTAGATATTGCAGAAAGATAATAACTGAACAGAGAAAAGACAAGAATATTTCACAATTTTTTCAAAAATTACCAATATTAACGTTTCTCTATCAAGATTAGATAACTTATTGTTTAAATTGATTGGATTCTTGATGGTTGCCTACAGTCCTGGCTAAACCATTTTTCTGCAGGTACTTCATAATATGATGCTAAATTTTGTCCATTTTTCAAGAGAAGCCATTATTAGTTACTTTTTTTTGTCACACTACTTTCCATATATGTATTTCCTCTATGATCATGTGATCTACTTAATTCAATAATGAGATCACTTGTGTTTGTTCTCTGGTGATCTATGTTCAGACTCAAGTATTGGCAGTAACACTTTATTCCTATATAACACTTTTAAAGTCTTCTTTGAACAGTCAGTTCACCTGGAAAGAAAGAATGAAGTTATTAAGAAGAATATTTGAAATTAAGGCATGCAAGATTTCACAGCTCTAGCATCACTCCTTCATAGTCAACCTATGAACTTTTCAGTCCACCCACATACTTTCTTTGTAAATTTATAAAAGATATACTGGAGTATTTACACATTCTAACATTTCCAAATTATATCTGAGTATTTACATGTCCTAAAATAATTATTATATTTGCTGTCAAAATGAAATACAATGCTTCATAGTTAATTCCTTTATTCTTCCTTAGTTTTTGGGTGATCAAATGGTAAAAGATGCTGGATTGAGTTGTCGTTATGTTATCTCTCGAAAGCCAGAAGGTTCTCCAGTCACTGAAAGGTAAGATGTTTTCTTTATTATATTTTTAGTTTCATTTTCTCTTTAATCTAAAAATAACTGAATAACTGATTGGCTGCTTGAAAAATATTAAAAAAATATTATATATCTCCACAAAAGTTTGATTAAAAATAGGTACCACCACGAGATCGCTAAAAAAAGAGCATAGCATGATGAAAAAGACACCAAACTTGACGAAAACAAAATTTTATCGTCTAAATGTTTGTTATTAAGAGGAAAGATAAATTATTTTTGGTGTATTTTTTTACATTTTTTAATCATTCCTAGCACGTCTGAAATTTTCATAAAAAATCTTGTTTTTTGGGGGGTTTTTTGAGTCAGCAAAATTGAAAGAGGGCAACCATTTTTTTCCATTTTATAAAAAAAATGAAAATCTCAGTTTGAAATTCTTTTAAATATCAATTTCTCAAAATTTCATGGAATTAAGTAACATATGTAAAAAAAAAAAAAAAAAAAATTTACCAAGATTTTCTAAAAAAAAAAATTCAAAAATAATTTAATTCGTGAATAATTCCTGAATGTTTCATTAAAATACAACAATTATTTGAATTTTGCAAGAATTTACAAATCAATGTGCTTTTCACTGGAAAAAATCAATCAACGACGTAAAAAAAAGATTTTTAACAAAAATTTTGAACGTGATATATAGGAATAAAAGATTTTTTAAAATAATTTAAAAAATACTTTGTTCTTTGTTCTTAATACCAGCATAAATATTTTGACAATAAAACTTTGTTTTTATCAAGTTTGGGGCATTTTTTCAGCAAAAACATGGAGATACCTACTGTTATGGTTTATGAGCATAGATTCACCAAGTCCATTCAAATCCCCCCCACCACCACCACCAAAGATTATTGAGAGCTTATTTTATTAACCTGAAAGTGCACATTTTAATTCGCACTCATTGAATTTGTAGTTGAAGGGAAAATACTAAATTATTTTACAGTAATAAAATACATTTTAGTAGAATTTGGAAAAATTTATCAGTGTTTTTTAAAATTTGAACAATTGAAATGTTAATCACATGTAAATTTCAAAAGTAAAAAGTTTTTTTGATCTCTAGTCAGTGGTGGGTGAGTTCATACTGAAAAAAATAGATACTTTATGCAACCCATGTCAATGTGTAAGCTACATTTGCCTAAATTGTTATTAAAAGTAACAAGTTTGAGAATCAAATTTGATTCAAAGAAAATGTAGACAGGAAGAATGATAGTACAGAAAATGTGCCATTGATATGTCTTACGATAGAAAATGTGTCTTTGAAAAAATAAGACAAATGTTATTTTTAAAGTTTACAATATCTTTAGCTTTTGTAAGTGGGGAAAAATGGTGAAATATATTAAAATTTATTTAGGTTTTATTGTTTGGCTTTATATTAAAAATTCAATCTGGCAACCGTGTCCCTTTACTTTTGTATTTCTGCCATAGATGGCTGGAAAATGTATAAACATGTGAATGACTCTTAGACATTTAAAAAATTTGAAACAGAAAAATGTCCCCAGACCAAGTCCTCCTCTGTGGTGAATGGTATTTTTTTTCTGTTTCAAAAGACATTGAATTGTTTCTGATAAAATACCAAAGCAATAAACCTTCAAACATTCAAAAACCACCTCCAGATGTGTTTATACAATGATCTTGATTTTTTTTATGCCTTTCTGAGCTTGAAACAAGTCCAATTGTCAACACTAATATGTCTGAACAAGACCCAATTGTCAACACTAATATGTCTGAACGAGTCCAATTGTCAACACTAATATGTCTGAATGAGTCCAATTGTCAACACTAATATGTCTGATATGTGTTAGCTACTGCTTGGGTACTCAGTTTCTTCGTGACTATATTCAAAACAAATAAATTTCATCTGAAAATAAAACTTTTTTCCCAAGATAATTTGCAGGGAAGGGGTGAAGATTTGTAAAGGAAGAGCACATTAAAAAGATAATTACTGTATATATACTTGTGTATACTGCGACCTTTGAAGACCTAATTTTGAAGTTAATCTGACTACAGTAAATGGATATATAGTTTGGTCAACGGTGTAGCCAAGGCCAGCAGTACATACACTAATTTCATATCTCTTAAACTTGTATATCACCTTAAAATTAGCTTCAAAATTAGGTCTTTAAAAGTTGCTGGATACATGACTATATATAGTACATTTTCCAAACTGAATGAATTTGTAAGAATTTTGTCAAACCCAAACATGCATAAAGATGCTACAAAGGTCGAGTGAGGATTTCTGGCAGATAGGGCTAGGCAAAATTTATCCAAACAAGGAAATGTGTCAACAAAAGATCTGTTTGCATGCAGAATTGCAACAATGTTCATCAGCATCATTGAGAAACTTCTGGCAAATTTCCCCCTTAGACACCCTCTTGTAAGGTCATTTACATAGCTGAATCTTAATTCCATTTGTGAAAAAAGATTTGCCACAGAAAAAAAAAAATCTGCCACAAAAGACAGTCTAAAAAGATGTCTTTCCCAGATAATGGACAGAAAACAAGTCTGCAGATTTTATTGTGATGACATCATCAGTCAGTACAAAGAGTGATGACAAAGCTGCTGGAAATATTGCTTTCAAGAATTTCAGCAAGTATGAAGACAGTCTGGACACTTTGTTCTACTTTTCTTTGTCTAACAACAAAGAATATTAAAAACTGGAAAGTTGTTTGCAGATTGCTGGTACTCTCTCATGGACAAGCCTCAGTGGAGAGAGGTTTCTCAGTCAATAAGAACATTTCCATTGACAATATGAAACAGAAGGTTCTGGTTGAACAGCACATTATCATGGACTATTTGGCCACAATTAGATGAGATTCTGATGACTAAGGCTATTCTCTGCAGTGCTTCCAGTGCCAGAACAGCATACAACCAATACTTTGAGGCTAAGAAGAAAAAAGGTAGCTTTCTCCAATGGTGTCCATCTTTTAGCTTTCTCCAGGCCTCAAAAAAACGTGAGGGAGTTTTTGAGTGTTTCTGGAAAATAGGTTGACTGAAACATTGTGATAAAAGTAAACCAATATTGATGAGATGATTAGTATGAACAATTCTTGGATTGATTATAAACAATTTTGTTCTTTTATTCTTTATTGTTTTTATTTATTTATATTTTTTTTTTCTAGGGCTATTCCCATGGCTATTTTCCAGGCTGAGCCTGGTGTTAAAAAACACTTTTTAAAGAAATGGTTGAAAACTTCCCACAATGATTTGGATATTCGAGATGTAAGAGAAAAATATTTTATGCACATATGTACACGCACACATTTGTGTAAATTTTAACTTTCTTTGGTCTTCATTTGGAAAATATTTTATTTTTATTGGTTATAAATATAAATTATAAAATGTTATTTCTGTCAGAATATCTAAAAACACATTAATTTTTTGTTGGGGCTGACAAGGGTTCTACAAGCAGCTGTCACAATCTCTTCTGAGGAGAAATTCAGGAAGCTTATATTGAGCTCTGGGGTTGAGTTCATTTTAATCTGCAGGTGTGGCAACCCTCCCATTGCTAATTAAAATCTCTTGAGTTATTGGTAGTAGGCAACCAATATCACTTCACCTTCATTTTTCTCTTATACCATATTGGCATGCAAGTCTGTTTCTTTAGGAAAAGTAAAACAGACTAGCCTCATTAATGATTACCCCATGCTGTGGTGAGCAAATTTCTTAGGCAAACTGAATATGGTTGTTTATTCAGCAATGTTTCACAAATATACATGCAAAAACATTGTGTTTCAAAAGGATGGTTTTTCACTTGACACCCCTATTATTATATACTTCTATGGCAATATTTTTGTTTTCAAAAGTTACTTTTAGAATTTTAATAAAACCCAAACATATGAAATTGAATTTATTTCTTTTTCTTTTTTTTTTCTTGAAATTTTTTTCTTCCTTTTCTCTTTCTTGTTTCCTTTTTCTTCATTTTCTCTTTCTTGTTTCCTTTTTCTTCATTTTCTCTTTCTTGTTTCCTTTTTCTTCATTTTCTCTTTCTTGTTTCTTTTTCTTCCTTTTCTCTTTCTTGTTTCTTTCTTCTTTCTTTTTTCTTCCTTTTTTCTTTCTTCTTTCTTTTTTCCTTTCTTCTTTCTTTTTTTTCTTCTTTCTTTTTTTTTCTTTCTTTTTTCTTCTTTCTTTTTTCTTCTTTCTTTTTTCTGTCTTTCTTTTTTTCTTCTTTCTTTTTCTTCTTTTCTTTTTCTTCTTTCTTTTTTTCTTTCTTTTTTTTCTTTCTTTTTTTTTCTTCTTTTTTTTCTTTCTTTTTTTTTTCTTCTTTTTTTTTTTTTTTTTTTTTTTTTTTTTTTTTCTTTTTTTCTTTTTTTTTCTTTTTCTTTCTTTTTTTCTTTCTTTCTTTCTTTTTTCTTTTTCTTTCTTTTTTCTTTTCTCATTTTTCTTTTTCTTTCTTTTTTCTTAAGAATTGGACAAAATACTAAACACTATTAGATTGTTTATTTATGGGTTTAGAAAAATGTTAACCAACTACAATGCAATATTTATTATTTACCATATTATACAGAAATAGCTATGAAAAAAAATTTCTTTTATTATGAATTTTTATAAATGTCTAAATAAAAGAACATGAAAATGTAAATAAACACATAATGACAAGTAACTGAAATTATAAAGTTTTAAAAAATGCATTTTCGAGGTATTTCTTTCATTTGCTTTCACCACATAAATTCACTAAAATGTGTTGTGAGCATCTGGATTTTATGAGAATTGACAACAATAATGTTAAACACTATTCATTAGTCTGTTTGTTTACAAGAATAATATTTAATTTATTTTATTATCAATTCTTAGTTGAAAAAAAAGAGTTTGCATAAAATCCAGTTTCATATTTACACTATTTACATCATTCAGATGTTGTCCTCATCTTTATTGCCATATTTACAATGTTTCAGGTGATTACATTGGAATTTCTAACTGAACCCTTTATTTAGTCCACTGGAGTAGATTCTTCTAATTTCATGTACCATGTCTTTTTGGATATCTCGGTTTCAGTTAATTCCTTTTAGTAACTCAACTCTCTTTTTTCCTCTCTGCTGTGGCCAAGTGTTGAACTCATAAGTCTTTGGTTCAACTAATGCTTTAATCCACTGGGTCAAAACATTGTGAATATGGCAACAAAGATAAAGAGAACAGTTTGAATGATGTAAATAGTTACAATACCTCGTATCAGAAATATAGCTTGCTTCTTATGTTTGGGCATTGTTAAAATTCTAAAAATAGTTTTTTAAAACAATAAAAATTTCTGATGAGAGTATACAATAATAGTTGTGTAAAGAAGAATTCTTTTGACATACCCTGTTTTTGAAGGTGTATATATTAAACTTTGCTGTTTGTTCTACTGGGGTATTGACATAATTCTTTACTCCAGCCTTCAATTACGGTTGCCTGTTCCATACATACAGAATCTTATTTTAATAAGATTGGTTTGAGATGTCAGGTTGTAGCCATTGTTCAGTTATTAATATGTGACACTTTAAATTCTAATCTAATTATCCTGGATCCAATCAGTCCTTTGGCCTGTAGCCAAACAACTCCTAGTTTTACCCCTAGCCTAAAAGAAGAGTGGTTTCTATTTTTGGATTTGAATTCAGAGTTGTGATCATTCTACACTAGTTGTCAATCAAGGTTAACTCAGTGTACCTTGCTTATTATCCATAGTTCAGAAGAGATGAATTCATGACAAGGGCATTAGTGTAAAATAAACACTGATTCAGCTGGGATTTGAACTTGACTTGACAATTACATTTTTTATGCTGTTAATCATTAGGCTACCCAAAGTTGTATTTTTTTAATTGTTTATTTAGAGTCACTTTAAAAGAAAGATTAATTTCCTTTTCTTCCTTTTCAGATACTAGATTGGCAATATTACATTGACCGTCTTGGGGCTGCCATTCAGAAAATCATTACAATTCCTGCTGCACTCCAGCAAGTAAGCTATAGTCATTGAATTTATTTAATTGTAAGACATAGTTGAGGAACCTATTGTAAGCCATAGCTGAAGATCTCATTTAACTACAAGCTGTAGTTGGGAAACCTGCTTAATCATGAGCCATAGAAAAGGGATTTAATAGAAAATTCAGAAAATTTATTTTGCATATTTATTTATTGCCTATGTTACAATTTTCTACTTATTCTGCAGCTGGACATTACCTGGATATTTTTTTTTATAATACTATAACTCATTAGTTCTCACCTAATAGACAAAGATGCTGTGTAGCCTTGACTAGCAATCTATGTAGCAGTGGTGTCTTGTTTGCAGAAAAGCACAAAATGTGTCAAACAATCAGACTGCATTTTCTGCTCTAGGATATGACCCTGGGTTTAAAATACACTCTAATTTTTGAGCCACAGTGTGTTTGTAAAATCTGCAATCTTTTTTTTTTAAATCTAGTTATATAAGAATTGTGAAAATTCAAGTCTACATAAAACAAATTGATCTATTATTATTTATTTTCAAATTAGGCTTGTTTTTGGTTGAATTGTAAACATGTTTAATCTATTCTCTCTTCAGGTATCAAACCCTGTACCTCGTATGCCTCATCCAGATTGGTTGCAAAAGAAGCTTTTGGAAAGAAATGATGTTTTTAAACAGAGAAAAATCAGTGAGCTCTTTTTACCTCAAGCTAAACCACAGGTATAACCTTCAAAGCTTATATATATTTGTATACAAACAAATACCATGGTTGATAGCATACAAAAACCTCCTTCTTTTTTTTTTTTTTTTTTTTTTTGTCACAAAATTTGCTTGAAAAGATTTCCTGAGTTTTATATATGAAGTTTAGGTATTGGGTAAGCTTGTATTTACTAAGATGTTGTATTGAACCATGACTTGCTGTAATGGTTTCTTGTGGTTTAATGGTAAAGCATGCTTGGCTTGAAAGCAGTTTCCAAATTGTAATGGTAGCATGGGTTCAATTCCAGTTGGATATATTTTTCTTTAATAACACTTTCAATCTCTAGTACGGTAGATATCAATTTCACTATTTAAAAAGAAACAATTGTACCCACTAAACATAATATTTATAGTGATAAGAAATAAAGTCAGATTAATCCATTAAATAATCATATATATTTAGGCAACAAGAATTCAATTAAGTTGTATGAAGTTTGTTGATTTAATTTTTCAAATGAGTCCTTAAACATTGAAGCAATTTGTCTAGTTTCAAAGACTGGAAAATACAATAAAAAAACTTTAGCAAATAGACCATTTCAGGTGAATTTAATACAGCTTCTTGTACATAAATATCCAAACACGCTTTATTTTTTTTTTTTTTTTAAAGTTTCTTTTTAATCAAATTCGTTTAAATGAATAATTGGTGCCTAAACATACCTTACTCACACACATACACACACACTAACAAAAATTATATATTTGTTCCTCACAACTTCATGCTTTTTAAAGTTTCATGCATATAGGGCTATATGCACTTTTATAAATATATTTTAGTTATATCGGAAATTTATATATATATATCTGTGTGTATGTTGGGGTGGGGGGTAGCATTGAAGTCAACACCCAGAGACAACTGTCTGTTTCATGCAGAAAGTGATCGTCAGGCCATGTGCATTGTTTTTGCTCGACTTTATATATATATATATACAGGTCTTGGCAGTCTATTTTTCTAATGGCTATTTTGGTGGGCATGGTTTGTTTATTTGTTTTTTATTTACTTATTTATTTGTGTGGATTAATTTATTTTACTTGTTTTTGTTTATTTTATTTATTTATTTTCATTTATTCTTGTTTTCAGTTTTTAATTTATTTTTTTTTAATTATATACTAAAAATTTGTTTTTGTGTCTGCATTTTCAGATGAGTCCTGATTATTTATTTAGTAGTTTTTCTCTGTTTAGAATTGTCAGAAAACCTGCAGTTAATCAATTAGCCACAGACTTTCCAACATTTCTTCCAGTGAAAACATATTCAACGAAGTTAAGAAAGATTTTGAAACAGACGTAAAAGATATTTGATTCCTGGCAACACTTGCATACACACCATACAGTACAAAAAAGCTATCAGGAAAAGTGGTTCAGCCAACTGTACAACAAAAACATAAAAACAAATGTAGGAAAAATATTCATTAAACTCATGCATAAAAACTCCCCCCACATCAAGCATTCCACAAGATATTTAATAAAAACAATAAAAATCAATTAGAATTGCACTGAGTACATGACAATACAAAAGCACAACAGGAAAATAATCAGCCAACAACCTGATCAAATTAAACACACATGTAACTGCAGAATAAAGAACAAATTTCCCTTAAATGGTATTTGCTTGCAAAACAATGTAATATACCAAACTACTGTACAATCAGAAGATAATGAAGAAAACAAATATACATAGGAGTAACTGAAGAACCCTGAAAACAAAGAGACTATGCACACAAAACATCCTTTGCAAATAGTAAATAGACAAACAGCATAATGCTTTCCAAACATATCTGGGAAATTAAAAACAAATCACACCAAAAATATAATGGAAAATAAGGAAAAGAATATAAGCCTACAACAATCAATCCAAAAACTGTAAACTGCCTGGAGGAAAAATAGCTATAATTACTTTCCCAGACCAAAACAAGCTAATTAAATAAATGATCAGAACTCATCTCAAAATACAGACATGAAAACAAATATTTACTACATTACTTAAAAATTGACAACTGAAAACTAACAAGAATAAATAAAATAAATTAATCCACACAAATAAATAAATAAACTAAGCAAATAATAAACATATTAACAAAACATGCCTACCAAAAGAACTGTTAGAATAATAAAACAGACAACCCACAATGCAATAGAATAACCATAATGCATCACTGACCTCTCTCTGTCTCTCTCTCTCTCTCTCTCTCTCTCTATATATATATATATATATATATATATATATATATATATATATAAAGTCAAGCAAAAACACAACACACATGGCCTGATGATTGCGTTCAGCATAAAACAAGCTGTCACCTCTGGTTGTTAACTTCAGTGTCCACTTTTATATTTATATATATTTCTAGTCCTAAACAGGGAACAAGGGATAAACCTCTACTCCTGTTAATCTTTGTGTGTGTGTAGTGCCTTTAAGTGACATTCTTCTCATCTTAGACTATTGACATTTGATATTTGTTTGTTTCATAGCCAAATGTAAACAGAGCAATTTCTAACGCTGTAACGGATTTTTTTATTTATTAATCCAACAGATTTTTATCACTTAAATAATATTTCTAGTGGATATTCATATTTGAGTAGATACTCATTTTTTTCCATTAAGTATATTTATTATCATCTACCAGCCTTAATATTTGAGAGAGTGTGCACACACACACACACATATATATATATATATATATATATATATATATATATATATATATATATATATATATATGTGTGTGTGTATGTATATGTATATATATATATATATATATATATATATATATATATATATATATAAGTAGTTTTTAAATAGGGTAATTGAACTTGCCAGAAGGCACATTCTTTTTATTAAGACTCTTAAATACACAGGCCGGTAGTAGAGATTTTATTATTTTAAAATAATAGGGATATCTAATCAAACAGGTGTATCCACTAAATATAGTATTTAAAGTAATAAGAAATAGATATCATAAGTTGAATTTTTTTTTTTTTTTTTTTATAGAAATTGGATAATTTGCATTTTTAAAAATTGTTTTTCATTCAGGTCCAAAGGCCTGTTTGATTTAAATGTATTTCAGTATGTTATTTCATGATAGATTAATTTTTTTCTGTCTGTTTTAGGTTGAAAATGAGGACACACCTCCTGCTATAAAAGACATAGAAGACATTGGTAGCACTAATAAATCTCCAATGCCTCTTTCTTCAAGAGTGACCAAGAGAAAAAGAGAATTGTCCAATGAAAATGGAGACAGTAAAGCTTTGGATTCACAAAGTGAGTCAACTACTCAAACATGGCGAGATATATTAGGGCCGCCACCGTCTATGGGTAAAACTAAGGTACAGTAAAGATTTAATATATTAAAGACTAAGAAAACATTAAAATCTCTTTTTGATTGTGTCTATTAACAAATATTTAAAGCAAAAATGGTAGTGAATAAGTTGTGATTGTCATGAGCAAGATATGCGACATCATGCCCGAAAACGCCCATGCATTGCATGTGTATGTTGTCGCAGAGCAGTTGGAGGAAGGTAAAATTGGTGGAGTGCGCCTACGCATATATAAAACTCTCCCACTCAACCAATCGGCAGCTTCGTCATGGCCTATAAAATGAGTGTGTCTGAAGGCTTTGGCAGTTGTGGCCAAGAGTGCCGACAAGAGACGACTGCCCTCTTCCAGCGGGTCCTTTTTAGCATGACAGCTACATAAGTCTGTACTGCAAATCCAGTCTCAGAAATCCAAAAGGCCAGAAATATGAGTAGTATAGTAAAAAGTCCAAGAGGCAAAATAAAATTAAAAAAAAAAAAAACGGGTAAAAATAATTCAACTTAAGTGAACTTGCTCTCACTCATGAACAAAAATAATACGCACATCTTGTCAAGAAAAACAACAGCTTTTATTGAGGAGGTAAATTTTGCGACTGGTCACGATAGTCAGGGGTAATAAAAAAAATTACCATATATGAGGCTATAATTATCTAGGATTTTTTTTTTTTTTTTTTGAAGGAGGTGATTTTCTCTTTTGCCACATTGATATAAATTAGTTTAACTGTATTGAGTAAGTTTAATTTATGCTCTGTCAAATCATTGGAATATTGTTCAGAGAAAATTCCACTTCAGAGAAAATGGTGGCCATCTCTTTCTAACATGGAACAGGCTATGCTTGGTTACATAGTACTGACAACAAGAAGTAATCCCTGATTTGATCTATTTAGGTTACAAAAAAAAAAATAAAATAAAAATAAACCTGTGTTATAGGATTCAAAAAGACAAAAAAAATATCTTTCTCTTATTGGTTTCTAACTTAAAAAAATATCTTTGAATTATTATAGGTTTCTATTAAAAAAATATCTTTGAATTATTATAGGTTTCTATTAAAAAATATCTTGGTATTATAGATTTCTATTAAAAAGGTTTTCAATTTGCAAAGAGTGGTATGCTAAAGCAATGGCATAAGAATTGAACATGTAAACTAGGTCATATAAAATAAAAGGTATATTTTCAAAATTCTGACTATAAAATTATAATTGTTTAAAACTTGCTACATTTATAGGGAAAGAGTGCTCAATATTGGAGACAGAGCATTGTAGATATATTAGGTTGCATTGTAAGTAATTTCTGGTTTTGGGAACCAATTGTAATATGTCATCCTAACTACAAATCAGACATGGCAGTTAAGAATAAATTTAGAATATTATAATGTTCATTTTTTTGCATAACGTCAGTGTACACAGATTAATGGAAGATGTTATTCTCCATTGCACTAGAAAACACCATACTTTGTCTGAATTTCTGGGGCAAGGAGTTATTATTTACACTATTTATATTTGGACTATTGTTCCCATCTTTGTTATTCTCACAATGTTTTGACCATTGTGCTTTCCAGCTGTCATCAGGTGTATATCTGGGTAATCTACAAGAAATTTTGGACTGAACAATTCTATATAATAAATACAAATGTCAGTGTGCCACTGTCATACTTTTTTGACTTTATGCCTAGGGCTGTAGCTTGACCATTTTGGAATCAGGCTGTGAGCAAATTATAAACATTCCAGGACAGATTTGGACCCACAATCCTGGAATTTTGGATTCTCAAATTTTTTTTTTTTTTAAATCATTTGTTGCCTAAACCTATTAATTTGTTGTTACTCTAATGAATACCAAGACATAAAACATAAATTAAGACCTTCGTTTAAGAAATCTTTGTGTCGTTTTTAATTGAGATTCTAAATTTCTTTTCTAGGCTGAAATACAAGAATGGTTGCAGTACCAGAAGAAAAAGTGGGCAATTCAAGCCAAAAATAAACAGCTTCAAAAACGTCAGCGTTTAGATACTGTAGACATTGGTGCAACACCAATTGTTGGACGCCTAGGTTTGAGTAATTTCCTGCGAAAAACTGCTCGAAGTATATTGGATCTACCTTGGCAAGTAGTTCAGGTAATAATGTTTTGGTGATAAATCTTTTTTTTTTTTTTTTTCTTTTTTTTAGGTCGGGAACTTTTCAGCACCCTTTCATATAGATAGGCCTATACTTTTATACTTCATCACCAAAGACAAAAGTTTTACAGTCGTCGTTGAAAATGTTTGTGATGATCTCTTGTTGCTGCTATTACAGTCAGTGGAGTGATTTGATTATTTTTAAAAAAAAAAAAAAAAAAAAAATATTTCACTTTAATATATTTTCTTTCTTTTATTTTTAAAAATTCATTTCATCCCAAGCAAGGCAATAAAGCCATTAAGATACAAGGGGTTACTGAGTGGGAGAGAATATAAAAAAGAAAACATCAAGGAGAGAGACCAAAAGAACAGAAATTAAGAAAACGGAAGATAACAATTGATATTGCATTTAAATTTTTGAAGATCAAAGTTGACTGCAAAACTACAAGCTGGAAATGAGTTCCACAAGGAAGAAGTGTGAGAAAAGAAATTATTAGCATAGAACTTAAGGTTACATCTAATCATTTCAACTGTAAGATAATGAGACCTTGCCGCCAATCTATTCAGTCAGTTATGTGCCATGCATGATACACGCTTAGGTGATCATGTATCTTTCGATACATGACAGACAAGGCAGATTTTTTTCCCACAGTGGGTTGCCATTTTTTTCTGCAGTAGACCAGTTGCCATCCAAGGCTATAGAACCCAGTCTGTCCTGCTATTTGTCCATAATTGGCGAGAGAAGAAGGGGATTCATTGCTTTCCCAAGGGTATTAGCATGTAAGTGAATGTAATGGATTCAACTGAAATTTGAACTTGGCTCTCTGATTCCTCAATCTGAGCTGCTATCCATTACTCCACCATGCCCCCAATATATTAGTATGCTTAAATTCATAAATTCTAGGTTCCAAGGAAGAAAGCTCATCAGAAAAATTACCATGAAAATATTTATAGGAAAAGCACAGAGAAGATATTTTACAGTAGTGGGAAAGTGACTGGAGCTGAGATGTCAGGTCAGGACCAATAACATTCTTTTTTGTATTTTATCAAGAACTAGCAGTAGAGCTTGGAATTGCCCGGGGATGTAACAGTAAGAGATAGATCAAGTATCGACCATCATAAAGACTGAAAAATAAAATTGACAAAGATTCGGACACGCATGTCTTAATTAGTTTTTTTTTTTTTTTTTTTTACGAATTGGTCAAACCCAAACTCAAACAAAAACATTGTTTTCAATCGTTATGAGTCTACCGATTGAATAGAATTTTATTATAAACAATTGTCTTGTAAATGGAATTTTTAAAGCATTCTGAATGTAAAAATAAAGCCAAAAAAAAGTGAAGTTTTGTTGAAATCGGTTGAAAAATGTAGGAAATCCGATCCCATATATAAACAAACACAAACACACACAAACAACCTGGGTTTTTATAATAAGTTATATATGAGTTGTCCCCCTTTCATTCTCGCAATGCCTCTTAATCGTGTTTTTAAATTGATTTTGTGCAAGAACAATAGTGTTTTTCCAATTTTTGGCACTGTCAGAACCACCACAAGGTAATTTTACATAGTTCTGTGACGTTTTGTTGAAATCGGTTGAAAAATGTAGGAAATCTGATCCAATATATAAACGTACAGACACACACACACACACACGCACACAACCTGGGCTTTATAATAAGTATGATGTCTAAATATATAGTAGAAGCACCAGACTAGATGTGACAGCAATATTCAATGCATAGACAAGTGCTAGACTTAAAAGTATGTAAGATAGGTTTTGGTGAGAAAATTGTCTCGCATGACACAGTGAACCAACTTCCCTTGCAGTTAATTCCAATATAAGCTTTCCACTTTGTGTCAGAGGAAAATGTTAGACTGAGACGGTCCAATGAGATACTCTTCTGGAGGTTACCATCAGCCATGACAATGGAAGGCAAAAAAGGCTTTCTCAGATTATTAAAAGAGGGCAGTTTTGTTTTGGTGGTGGTAAAGCTAACAATTCATTTCTTACTCCCACTTGACAACTGATTTACCATATCTGGCTGATGGAACAGTCACACATTTTCCAATACAAAGGACATGCATAATAAGGAAACACAAGCAACCCGAGATGAAATTTGAATTTACTTTCTCAATTTTGTTTCCTAATCATTACCTCCTACTCCCTGTAAAAGAAAGAAAATTTGTGTATAAGGCTTCTTCTATGTACTATTCTCCTTCAGGACATGAATGATCAATGCTCTTCATAATTCCTTATCCTTTGTAGCTCTAAGCCTTAATATCCCTCCCAGTTCATGTTTCTGCCTCCCATTTAGATAAACTTCTTAGATAGGTTATTCACTGCTTTCCTCTTGCCTTCAGTGTGTCAAATTCTCCCAGCCCCTTGTCCTCATTGTGACCTAGAAACTTCTCCTGTCTCTATAATTCTAAGTATGAGCATCCTTTTTGTTTCCATTTGCCTGAAAACCTCTTTTGTTGCACATATGTTCAGTCCATGGTATTCTCAGCATTCTTCTTTAGAACCACAGCTCTGTTGCCTTAAGGCTTATGGCTACATAATATTGAAACACTGAAACCATATGATTATTGAAGTTAAGCTATGTTGAACCTGATCAGATGGTTGGGAATACCAGATACTGTAAGCTTGGATGTGTGGGTGTTGCAATGGATAATGGCTCGGAAAGCCGAATTTCCTGTGAGGTTCATTATATTCACTTACGTGCATACCTTGGAAAAGGTATGAATCCACTTCTTCTCCCACCAGCTATGGGTTAATTATTAAGACTTGTATTGCTAAATTATTATTACCTCTTCCCCAAATTCTTACAACCTAAAAATATTTTCTGGCTTTAAATCAACCTACAAAATGATTATAAGCCATAGAAAAGGAATCGATCAATATGTCCTGTGAGTGTCAAATTCTCCCAAACCATTTTCCTCATTGTGCCTTAGAAATTTCTCTTGTCTCTATGATTCTATGTATAAGTGTTCCTTTTGTTTCCATTTTCCTTAAAATTTTTCGTTGCTCACATGTTCAGTCCATGATATTCTCAGCATCCTTCTCTAAAATCACATCTCTGTTACTTCAAGTCTCCTTTTCATCTGTGAAGAAATTCATAGGAGGGCTTGAAGCAACAAGAGAGGTGGTTGAGCACTTTTTTCTTTGTTACCAATGAAATTTTCCTGTCTTTTAATACTTTTATTTTTTGGAAGACATCTTTTGCTATTTCAATGCAGTGTGGGGAAAATGAAATAAAACTATTAATAATAATAATAATAATAAAAAATTCATTATCCCATGATTCAAGTTATAAAGAAACTGTAAAGTGTTTCTAGACACATGTGATTTTATGACCTGACTTCTGGAAAGGACAATGTTTCTCTTTTCCACTTTCCAACAACATCATTTGGATGTGTTTTAGCAGCTCTACTCATGAAGTAGAGGTTCAGTCTTCCCAACTCAGTGTGAGGCTGACTTGAGCTTGACCATCTTTATCCATTCTTATCCTTACTTCTCATAAATTATTTCTGAACTGAAAAGGAAAACAGACATACTTAAGAGACGTTTAACTTTGTTTCAATACATCAACAAAAAGAATAAATGTCTGTATCAGAAACTAAAGATTTTTTTGTATGCTTCTTCTATCTTCTTTCTTTATATATTGAACATGCACTGTCACCTAAAAATAGTCACAAAACCTGCAACCATGTTAACATCCTCAGAACTTTTAATTTCTGTGTTACATTTTTGATTGTTTGTTAACATTTTCCAGTGAAATTTTTGAACTGGCTTGATTTTGACTCCAATTTGTAGTTTGCATCTTGTCATAAAATTTTATATTCTCCAAGCTTACCCCAGTTAAAAAATATATATATATATATGCATTTTGTTTTGTAGTATGCTGAAACTAATGTACCTGGTCAGTTTCGATTGTGGGCCCTCATTGGACCTGATCTTCATATGATGAAATTGAATGTTCCTCGAATATTTTATGTGAATCAGAAGACTGTAAAGGAAGGAGAAGGTGTCAGTAAGTGTTTCTAAGTTTATTTACTTTTTAATTACCAATCCTTGAATTGCGATTTGGTGATGAGTGACACTTTCAAAATATATAAACATAGAAATGACTGCAGAAAAGTTTTTGATTGGACCCACTTCTCAAAATCAATATTTTAATAACCAAATATTAAAATACTGATTCTGAGGAAATGTGTCCAAACCTTTCAGTCACTTTTTTTATTTTTTCATACACACACACACAAATAAAGATTAGAAAAACCTATGAAACTTTCACAGTTTTCCTATTTTAATATTCTGATTAATCTTAATTATTAAGTTAATTTTTGTCTATTTTTTTTTTTTTCACTCCAAGCAAGGCAATAAAACCATTTGGGCACAAGGTATTACTGAGTGTTAGAGAATATGAGAAAAACTACTATTAAGGAGAGAGGACAATAAAAGGACAAGAATTAAGAAGACAGAAGATTGACATTGCAGTTAAAGTTTTGAAGATCAAAGTTGGCTGGGAAGCAAGAGAGGTGCAATAGAAGAAACTGTTAGCATAGAACTTATGGGAAAAGGAACTGAAGTTGAGATGCCAGGTCAGGACCAATAACATTGCAGATTCTTCTTTGGATTTTATCATGAATCTCTAAACATATAGCAGGAGCACCAGAGCAGATGTGGCAGCAATATTCAAAGCAAGAACGAATCATAGGCTTATAAATATGTCAGATAAATTCTAGTGAGAAAAATTGTCTAGCAAGGCATAATGAACCAACTTTCTTAGCTGCAGTCCTAGTAGTTGATTCAATATACACTTCCACTTCATGTCAGCTTAAAACATTAGTCTGAAAAAGCACAATGAGTCACTCTCCTGGAGGTTAGTATCAGCCATGCTGATGGAAGGTAAAAAAGGTTCTCTCAGATGATTAAAAGAGAGTAGTTTTGTTTTTGAGGTTAAAATTAACAAATTAAATTCATGATTGAATAAGCTCATGGTGAGTTCTATGACAATAGAATATCCATAGAAATTTCCCTATTGCATTGTTAAATATTTGAGTTTAACAACTTTTAACAAAATATTGTAACAACAATCATAAATATGAATGCTGATCATTATTAGGGGGTACAAAGGAAAAGGTTTGAAATTGACAACATTTTCCATTTCACTGAAACAGACTTTAAACACTTCTTTCTTCACAAAACTAAGTTTCTTTGATATGTCTTTCCACACAATCAAAATGGAATAGTCCATTATTTATGAGGTATTAGCAGGAAATGTTAAACAGTGGTTCCCAACCAATTTTGGGCTATGTCCCACTTTGGTATTTCTAAAATTCTGGTGCCTCTCCTGTAATATTTAATTTTTACATATTCAAAATTTTACTGGAGTTCACATAAAGGAAGCTTAAAAGACCATTAACTTGGTCTCTAAGCAAGCCTCCAATGTTGGGAATCATTGTGTTAAACACTGCTATCTTCTCTTTTTTTTTTTTTTTTTTTTTCACTGAAACCAAATAGCATCTATGTCATTTCCATTTTTTTCCATTATTTATGAGGTATTGGCAGGGTGTAATGGTCGTGCAAACTAACTAAAGAAATAATTACAGGAAGAGCAGGCAAAATGATAATAAGATTATATTTCACAAAAAAAAAACTCCCCAAAAAAAACGATTCTCATTTATTCAGGAAGGATAGCACTTTTAAGGCGAGCAGTAATAAAATTAAATATTCAGATTTATTTTTTTCAACTTGGTTTTACAAGACTTGCGGCCATTTATCAAATGGTTAGACAGTAAATTGCATTTATTTACAGATATATAATTCTTAAAATAGTTTAAAAGTTTTCACTTGCATGTCTTGATAGCGTTCAAAAGCATCTTTGCGACCTTATGGATGATAAATTATTTTGTAACCTACAGCCCTTTTTCCACTGACAAAATGTTGTGAGCCTCTCCTTGCTCTATCGCTATTTAAATGGCATGTGCTATGACAAGCTACATTACAACCCCTGACTTTTACTACTGGGGTCTGCTATGCTACATACACACGGGTGAATTATCCCCATTCCTTTTGTATTTCAATAGTAAGGAGTAAGTTCCATTCAGACAGCTTCTTCATAAGAACTGTTGCTTTGTGGAACAAACTTCAGCTAAAATGATTTCCCAATCAATACAATTTTGACCTCTTTAAGTCTAAGGTTAACTGTTATTTTTCCTGCATAGTCCCATGAATTTCACTTCTTGCTTTTTCTTATACTCTGCCCTGTTGGTTGGTTGGAGCAGTAGAATATGACAACTGCATAGAGGTAATACCTCCCCACATACACACACACACACACCTTAGGCCTGTGTATGACGATGAACTAAACCTGACAGCAAGGCCTCTAATTGGGAGATTGGAGGTTTTGAGGAGTGTGGAACCACCTCTTAAATGCTGCTGTTCCTGGGTTCACCCTGATCTGGAGTGGTAGCACGTTTTAGGGTCCCAGCTATGGCCAAATAGTGAACCCCCAAACAAAAATCAAAACACTAGGAAAAGTATAAAAATACAAGCAATACATTTTTATGGTAAAATGACCAACAATACATTTTTATAGTAAACTTGAAGACATGGCATACATTATCAAAAAATTAAAAAAAACAAGATATTCTTTTAAAAATTATTTATGTGTGGGTATAAAAGAAGGATTGCTTTAAGCAGGTTCAAATTGACAGATTAAACTATCTATTTGAAACAAATTGTAGCTACCAAACTGAGCTCCCCCAACTATTTAAAAAACGAAAAACAGTGAAGTATATGTAATATATGTATCCACTTGCTTGGCATAAAATGACCAATCAGGGTTGATACTTCACTGAACAAAATCTAACTAAAATTTAACTTAAAAAAAAAAAATGAATCAGAAAATATCTTCTAGGCCAAACTCCAAAGATTACCAGTACTTATCTTAACTGAATCCATAGTACTGCAATTTTAAATGTAAATAGGATCAATCAGTTATGTGCCATGCGTGATACACGATACATGACTGACGGGGCAGTTTTTTTTTTTTTTCCTGCAGTAGGTTGCAATTTCTTTCTGTGGTAGACCAGTTGCCATCCAAGGCTATAGAACCCGGTCTGTCCTGCTATTTACCCATAGCTGTGGGGAGGAAGAAGATTCATACATTTCTCAAGGGTATTAGCACGTATGTGAATGTAATGGATTAGACAGAAATTGGAACACAGCTCTCTGATTCCTCAATCCGAGCCGCTATCAATTACTCCACTGTGCCTCCTATAAATAGAATGTAAAAAAGATAGAGGTCTTAAATGCTATCATATGCATTAATAAATCCATTTAAACATTGGAAGATCTTGAAGCCTTTGTATTCTTGAATTAAATCCTTATATTATTTTATTTTTTTCAGTGTGGAAGAAAGTAATGAAAACCTTGCCTCGATCTCACCCTGTGTTAAACTTGTACCAGTATTCTGTACCAGAAACTGTTTATTTAGAACATTGCAAGTAAGAAATTTTTCCATATACACATTAACAACACCTACTGAAATATGTCAAATTTATAGAATTTAACATAATTCAAGGTAAGCACAATCTTAGCAAGAAAGTACTCAATAGAGGACTAGAACTGCAATAATCAATAAATTAAAAAATATTCAAATGAACTATCATTTGACCGACTTCAAAATTTTGCAAACAGGACAATCATCAGGATCAGAAATTTATTGAATTCTTAACAGGTATATCTATTAATTTATATAAAGAACATTAAACAAATATTCTTTTTGAAACTTGAAATGTCCTGGAAAATTGACAGGGCTTTTCCAGGGCTTGAAAAGTCTGGGGAAAAACAGCAATAGTTTTAAAATAATAAAATTTTTTTAGTTGTCAGTAATATTTGGCAATTATTGCGAACAGTGGTTCGTTAGAAAGTGTTCATGACCTCATAGTTACTTCTGTATTTTCTTGTGATGAGAAAGAAAATGACAAAGAAAGTGAAGGTGTGTCTTCTAGCTGCTACCCTCACACAACAAGAGGAAAAGCAAAGATAAAAGGTGTGAGAGTCAAGTAAACATCTCTATCAAAGATAAATGATGACATAGTGTTTAAGAACTCTGGAGACCCCTCTGACCCCTCTAATTACCGTCCTATTAGTCTCCTACCCCTCTTTGGCAAAGTCTTCGAAGCCCTAATCAATGCTGAAGTGGTTAATCACCTTACATCTCATAATCTGCTCTCAGACAAGCAATATGGTTTCCGCTACGCCCGATCTACAGCTGATGTGCTTACAACCATCACTGAAACCGTCTACCAAGCCCTTCAAAATAATGGAGAGGCTCGTGCCGTGGCCCTCAACATCTCCAAAGCATTCGATAGGGTTTGGTACGCCGGCCTTCTTCGTAAGCTCCAGGGGTATGGTGTTACTGGTCAACTGTTTGATCTAATACAATCATTCCTCTCAAACCGAGTATTGAAGGTCGTTCTCAACGGATTCTCCTCCAGTTCCTATCCCACGAACGCAGGTGTTCCCCAAGGCTCCATCCTTGGCCCCACTCTTTTCCTTATTTTCATCAATGACCTTCCCGACGCTATAGATTCCCAAGTTGGCATCTATGCAGACGACACCACAATTTACTCCTGCCTCCAAAACAAATCTAGTGTTGGCGACAAAATTAATCTCGGCTGGTGCGCCTTGAAATGGACCTCCAATCGGGTTGTTAACTGGGGCAAGAATTGGCTGGTCAACTTTAACGCCACTAAGACTAAATTACTTCCATTAACCACCATAGAGATCCTTCCCTGTCCCCCATTATAATGTCTGATAGTCAACTTCCTGAGAGCAATTCCTCATGTCTGCTCGGTCTCACGCTGACTGCTGACCTGAGATGGAACAAATACATTGAGTCAATTGTTTTTCCACCGCGAGGAAAGTTGGCTCTCTGTGCCGTGCCAGGAAATTTTTCTCCCCTGAATCGACACTTCAAATATACAAAACAACCATTCGCCCTTGCATGGAGTATTGCTGCCATATATGGGTTGGGGCACCTTCTGCTTACCTCTGAGTTCTTGACAAGATCCAGAGACGGATATGTAATCTAATTGGCCCTGATCTAGCGCCCTGCCTGCAGTCACTCTCACAGACGCGCTGTCGCCTCTCTCTGTCTTTTTCTACAAATACTTCCATGGTAACTGCTCTGACGAGCTGCTTTCACTGGTTCCCCAGACTCCATGAATTCAAGCGCCCCACGAGGCTGGCATCCGGCTCCCACCCTTACACCATAGAAACTTTCAAATGTAGCCGCTCTTTCTACTCCAATAGCTTCATACCTCGCACCTCTCACCAGTGGAACACCATCCCCAGTTACTGCTTCCCTGAAGGCTATAATCTCCAACTATTCAAATGTAATGTCAATCGACATCTCCAGTTACCTTGATCTACCCACTATCCTTCTCCTCATCCTTTCTTCTATCACTCCTATCTGCTCTTGCTCCAAATCTTCTGCAACCCCCTGCATCCTAGTGGCTTCACGCCTTGCTTGGGGCATAATGCTTAAAAAAAAAAAATATTAAAACTTATTTAGCTTTTATTGTTTGGCTTTATATTAAAAGTTCAATCTGGCAACCCTGTCCCTTTACTTTTGTATTTCTGCCATAGATGGCTGGAAAATGTACAAACATGTGAATGACTCCTAGACAATTTCTCTGCAGTGCTGTCAAATGTGAATGAAATATTTCCAGTGAAACTGCAGCTTGTTTTTGTCTGTTTTGAAAGACGTTGAACCATTTCTGATAAAATACCAGAGCAATAAACTGTTGCTTCCTTTTTCTTGTAGATGATCTTTTTAGAATGACCATGAAACTGTTAAGATTTGTAAAGGAAGATAACATGAAAAAGATAATTACATTTTCCAAACTGAATAAATTTGTAAGAATTTTGTTGTTGATCACTGATTGCTAGTATGCTCTTATGGACATGCCTCATAGAGAGGGGCTTTCTCAGTCAATAAGAAAATTTCTACTGACAATATGAAATGACAGATTCTGATAACACAGTGAATTATCACGGACCATTTGGCCACAGTTGAAGGTGCTGAGAATGTTCCCCTGATTAAGGCTCTTCTCTGCAGTGCTTCCAATGCCAGAACAGCATACAACCAATATTTTGAGGCTGAGAAAAAAAAAAACAAGGCAGGAAGAAGCAGCTGGACAAAAACAGAAATTGAAGAACTGAAGACCAAAAAGCACAAGCTTGAAAGTTGCACACAAGTCAGCTAACAGCTATGTAGAGAAAGCTGAGCAGACTCAGAACTTCACACATTGCAAAGGACAAATCCACAGAGATATCAAAAATGGAAGAGGAGCTGAATGCTAAACTAGATGAACTGAAAAAATGTGAACATCAGTTGTGTTCTGTGCCATATGCAACAAAAACCATTAGTAGTAAGAGTAGCTAAAATGTCTGTCTATATTTCTGAGATGAGGTATTATGTACATTATTCGGATTATTGTCCTCATCTTTGTCGCCATATATATCACAACGTTTCGGCCGTTGTATGCTCTGTCCTTCTTCAGGTGGTTGGAATGTCGAACTGAACCCTTTATTTAGCTCACTGGGGTAGACTGTTCTAGTTCCACGTGCCATGTTTGATGGATGTCAACTATCAGTTATCTCCTGTTAATTTTCCCTCTGAAAGTTCTCCACTGCCTTAACCGGGTATTGAACTCACACTCTTTGGATCCTGTCACTGGATCTAACCAACGCCTTTATCCACTGTGCCATGTGTCCTTGAGGACATCTGATAGCTGACATCCATCAAACATTTAAAATTTATTTCTGTTTTAATTTCAGTGAAATTAATGCTGACCTTTCATCACCAGACATTGAAGGTGTGTATGAAACACAAGTACCTTTGATGTTCCGTGTGTTGGTTCAGTTGGGTTCTGTGGTGACAGTGAATAGAGATTATGTTCCACTTTTGGCTGGCAAGGTAAATAATTCCGTTTTTGCTTGTAGATTTGAGTTTTAGCTTAACATACTTTAATAGAGAAATGTTTTTCTTTTTTTCTTTTCTTTTTTTTATGGTATAATGGTATTTTAATCAGCATTCAGTTTATACTTTTAATCATGAATTTGTGCAATTGTACACTCTTATATTGATGATTTTAAACTGGTTTTAATTTTATTTAAAATTAACTTAAAGGCTGCCATAGGTGACCATTATGTTCAATGTTTGTATTAAAGAATTTTGTTCTTCTTAAAAAAAAAAAAATGATTGTACTTACATGTTTTTGTTTTTTTTCATAAGGAGCTATAAAAATTCATTCTTGTTTTTTTATATATATATATATATATATATATATATATATATATAGGTGGGTTTCAGCAGGGTTGCATGAACCTGTTTTGGAATTTTATGACCTCAGCTAGCTGCAACCTGAAAAACAAAGTTCTAGTTTTAGATTGTCTACAAATTGTTGTCACATAATCAGTTGGAGATGTAAATTCAGGTGATCGAATAAAGGTTAATACAAATTTCTTGAACTGCTGAACTTGCTTGAGCCAGATACTTGAAATATTCAAGAAATAGTTATTCTCTAGAAAGCCGTGGAAGAAAAGTCTTTAGTAAAACTTTTCATCACAACACTTCCATTAATGATTTTCAATAGTATGTGGAAAATGTTCTGAAAAACTATAATTCCTCAAAGTGTACAAAAAGTGAAAACTATTAGCAATACGATTGCTATCATTTCTTTCGAGGCAGAAAGTCGTTTTTCAAGAATGAATATTATATACTCAGATAAAAGAAACCTCCTTGCAGTGGAAAATGCAACAAACTTGATGACAATTAATCTTATTGGACTCCTTTTAGATTTATGGGATGCCACTCCTTTCATTAAAACATGGCTTAGAAAAAAAATCTCAGTGCTGATGACAACAAAGTGAGGCAAAAAAGCTTAAGACTATGATGACAATCAAGTTTCTATTTGGAAATTTTTAAAATGAAAGATCATGAATAAAAAATTTAAATCATTTCTTTTAATTATTTTTCCTTTGAAAATAAGATGAAATGTAATCTAGATTAATTTGGGCATTTTTGAATAAGTGAGAGAAAAGTTATTTTTTAGGTTAGCCAAAAAGTCCAGTAAGCTATGGAGGACACTAAGTAACACAATGTTTAATAAAGTATTATAAATTCCTTATGGAAATGTTATTGTACTTGGTATAACAATTCATTAACATATTCTCTATACATAATGCTTAGGCTATTGCCGTACACTATATAGTTAGCATGAAGACTGACTTCAATACAACTACTCTTGACTTCATACAAGGAACTCTTTATAGTATTGGACAAGTTCATAGAGTCACCTGGAGTGTACTCTTTACTACACCCCCCCCCCTTTTGAGATTACTACTTTATTACTAAATATTTCTTATTTAGTATTGGTATCTCCGCACCTCTTTCTGAAGAGTTCACTGATGTACTTTGTATCATTTTCTTTTCTTTGAACTTGTCCTTATATGTTACCCAGTTTGTTTTGGTGCTGACACATCAAAAATGTCGTACAGCATTTTAACCGGTTCTTCAGGTCTTTAATCAGTGAATTTTTTCTTCAGCTGATTTTGGTGCCTTTTATGTTGGAATATTTTTCCTTTCACCATGTAGACCAATTTTCCGATTCTAGCTGCTATTATGCTGTCTTTCCATGTTTCCTTTCCATCCTTGTATGCTCTAAAAATACTTTATCTCCAACCTTGAAAGTATTGGTGTTGTTTTTATTAACCATTCATGATTTTTGACTTCACAATAACTTCTCAAACACCAATTTTGGCCTTCTGGCAAACATTAATTTACCGGCAACATGCCTGCTGGTATGTTTAGGTGTTAACTGGTACGCTCTCAAAAAAATTTTGAAGTACCTCTTCATTTAATTTGTCCAGACTTGCTTTTTTTCAACATTCTTTTGAAAATTCTCACAAACTGTTCCACTTGTCCGATTAGCTACACAGTCATGTCTTTCAGATTCATTTACATTCTCTGGAATATAAATATCTAGAAACTATTGTGGCCACAAAGTGAGGAATCAGTTTCTATATTAATTGTAATATTAATTGATCCCCCACTTTATATCCACCTAATTTCATGTTTATCAAATACTGATTAGGTATGAATCCACCTCTTCTCCCCCTAGCTATGGGTTAATTAGTAAGATTTGTATCAGTAAACCATTATCTTCAAAAAAAATTCTGACAATCTAAAAAATATTTTCTGACTTTAAATAACCTGTACAGGGTTGATAAGCCATAGAAAACCAATCAATCAATAAACATTATGTTGCTTCCACATGGTCATCAAATATAACTGATTTAGTTAATGCAACTTCTCAAGCATGATTGTTTCTTTTTTCAGGAAACTGACACATTTGATATGGAAATGTTGGAATTCCGAACCCTTGCTCAATATTCTTACCTGGAAACAGACTCCATGAAACATATTTATCTTTATCATCATGCTTGGTAAATATTGCCCAACATTTCTTCTCCATGAAAGAAACAATTGCAATGAATTAATTGTACTTTTGCAATCAATTCATTTCTTTACATTTGTTGGCAAACATAGATAAACATGCCCACAATAGGATATATTGTCAAAAGGAGAGTTTTTGCCATGACACTGCTTTTTTTAACTAACTTCACTCCTTGGCAATGTTTCTTGTTTTAAAAAGCAATGATTAAAATTGGAATAAAGCCTAAACACATTATGAAAGTGAATTTATGCAATATATTTTTGTTCTTGAGAATTTACAACAAAAATATTAAACGCTATTTATTAGATTGTTTATTTATGAAAAAAATTTCATATTTACAACATTTTAAAAACTAATACAATTAAAACTAATATAATGTATTTTTTATCATTTACCAATTTATGAAGAAATAAATGTGAAAACAATTTTTTATCATAAATTTATAAACATTTAATAAATTAAAATATGTGAAATGACTATAAGGAAATTCTTATTATTTACTATTTTATAAAGTTTTAATCAATTGGCAATTAGCCGATGTTTTTCAACCATTCCAATAAATAATATAATAAATAAATTAATAAATAGTGTTTATTATTTTTGTTGTCAATTTTCAAAAACAAAGAAAATGTCTAAATTCATTTTCATATGTTTAGGTTTTATAATAATTCTAATCATTGCTTTTTAAAATAATAAACATTGCCGAAGAGTAAAGGTAGTTAAAAAAGCAGTGTCATGGGGGGGAAAAACCATTCTTTTTACCTTCTGTCTTATTGCTGGCATGTTTTTCCATTTGTTAATATTTTTGTAAAAGATCCATTTTATGTTTATACCAGTACTATTTCATTTTCGGTTAATAATTTCCATAAAAAAAAAAATATTTGCATTCGTACTATTGTCCTCATCTTTGTTGTTAACACAACATTTCAGCTGTTATACCTTTCAGACCAATCCAAGTAAACTGCAGGGAATTTTGAACTGAATCCTTTATTTAATCTATGGGGATAGATATTGCCTGGTTAGGACAATAGCCTAATCATTTAAAGTGTAAGTTTGTGAATTTTTTTGTAAGTTCAATTCATGGGCAGATTTGGACTTGATCGAAAACAGGGTAAGCAATAACTTGCATAATATATATTTCAAACACGGGTATCCGCAAAAAATATTTGAAAAATATATATGAATCTGTAGAATCGCGTCTGTTGTTTCAAGTCTATTCTTCATCTGTTGACTAGTTCATGTTTATTTTATTTATATCACAATTCAGAGTTAAAAAGGGTTTCCTATTCATGTTGGCTCATGGTTGTGGATTTGTATTCAGAGTTGTTTTTCTACTAGATTAGTTGCCCTATCAAGGCCAAATAACTTGGTCTGCCCTACTATTTGAATTTGATATAGGGAGTTAAATATTCATGCTTTCCCAAGATCATTTATACAAAGTGAATGTACATAGTTTCTGCTCACATGTTCTGTCTAAAGTATTTACAGCATTTGTCCGTAGAACCTCGTCTCTATCACTTTGAATTTCTTCATCTGATTACTTGTTTTAGTTCGTCTTGTTCCTTTTTATCACAAAGTTGAAAGGAACTTCATCTAAAAATTAAAACAAAATATAGTTAATTTTAAAAAATTTTTTTTCCAATGATATACCAGCATGTTGGC